TCCGGCACGTGCTAACATGAGCAGAGATGAGAGTGCAGCGCTAACCCTAGCGATATGGAAAGTGAAGAGCTAACATTAGCGGAAAGGAGAGTAATACGAGTTTATATAATGTCATCTTGTTAAAAATATAAATATTCAGGATTACAAAGTAAATATATCAAGAGTAATATGATGCCTGTCACACAAGGAAAATATGCACCCTTGGAGACCCGGAATGGGGAGGGTGTTTGAGAAGGGAGGGGGAGGGATCTAATGGGCGACAGGTTATTGGCTGCCCTTGCCAGTTGCCACTGGAATAGGGAAGGAGGAAAGAAGAGGATAGCAGGGAAGAGGAACGAAGACTAGGGAGAAGAGGTCCACAGTGCGGTAGTGGTGGAGGGGACGACTAGGGGTCGACGGTGACAAGGGGGAGTTAGGGAGGGAGAAATTACTGCGAGGGGAGAGCTCACACGCCGGGACACACACACACACGCCGGGACACACACACACACACACACACACACGCCTCTCCCAAACATACTCCCTGCGTTATTTTTACTCCGAGTGGTACGGTGACGTCTGCCTGCGGTGTCCGGGACACAACGTCCTTTACATATTCATTTCAATAGACAAATTATGTATTTACATACATATTCTCGGACTATATAGAGTGTCTGAGAATAGCAGTGCTCATAGATGTGACACCAAGCGAGAAAAGCATTACGTCACTTGTGCTTACTCCTTCAAATTGTTTACAGAAAAGTTCCTTACCCATTATGAACGTTGTCTTTCAACTGGTGGTTGACTCGGACGACGATTCCCTCCAAATGACGACGACCCTTTGCGAGTTTGTGGTATCCTGCCTTTTTTACCTTTCGCTTGTCACCACAAAGACCACCACCACCACCACCACAACGCACTCTACGCCCCCACCTACAAGCACAGAGAGAGTAAGAGACGCCCCACTGACAGCCAAAGATCACCAGGTCGACACGTCCCACCTCACCGGCGGCAGACAACACACTAACTCCCACTCTGGCGCCGGCCGCCCTCCACCCTACCCACAATCACAAGGTGGGCCAACAATCTCCCCCACCACCCTCCCTCCATAACCCAGGCCCACCAAATTGGCCACACCCCCTATATCACCCCCCCCCCCAAAGCCTTGTCTAGGTCTACCATGGTTACTGAACCACTTATTGTGTTGTCTAACTTTCTTGTTGCACCTGTCGACCTCTACAACAAATAGCATAACCCATCAAAGCGAATTAAAATTATAGTGTTTGATATAAATTATATACATACACACTTTCAGCTACGAATGTTTAATTTTACATGTAAATGAATACACATTCATATGTATGAGTCGTCATGGGGGGCGGCTCGTCTGTCAATTGTGCCATAAAAAACATTATTTTGTATATTTGAGACAGTTAAGTCCCAGTTGCGTCTGGGTACAAGTGACAGGATGAACAACCCAGCGGGTTTTCTTCCTATTGGAGAGTGTTGTACATGCTGCCATGGTGGTATGACCACTCTTAGGCTGGATGACGACGCTGCTCACTAAACTCGCTCTTCGGGGAAAAAAGAGAAGTCAATATATCAATATGGACTATGGGGACTATCCTGCACGCGTCGTGTTGGCTAGGCGTCTCAGGTGACTCTCCATCACTCCTGTGACACATGGAGAGTTCAACCTGTTCTTCAAAACCGACAAAACTCAGCTGTCACACTGGGCGCCTGACAGCTGAGTGGACAGTGCTTCGGATTCGTAGTCCCGAAGTTCCGGGTTTGACCCCCGGCGGAGGCGGAAACAAAAATGGGCAGTTTCTTTCACCCTGATGCCCCCTGTTCACCTAGCAGTAAATAGGTACCTAGGAGTTAGACAGCTGCTACGGGCTGCTTCCTGGGGATGTGTAACAAAAAGGAGGCCTGGTCGAGGACCGGGCCGCGGGGACGCTAAGCCCCGAAATCATCAAGATAACCCCTATAGCTTTTGTATTTGTAATAAACAAAAATTCGCGAACAAATCCACAAGGGCCGTGACGAGGATTCGAACCTGCGTCCGAGAGCATCCCAGAGCATATTGTATAAGGCGTCACGTCCCTTGTGGATTTGTTCATTTGATGCATCACGCAATTGTGATTTCTGTGTGTAAAGAAGTTCACGCTGTGTACTACTGTATAAATTCTATAGTGTCTGGGTTAAGAAATATCTCAAACCTAACTTGGCCTGGAAATAGTGCATACAGTATATGTATTAAATAGGCCTATCTTGAGGTTATCTTGAGATGATTTCGGGGCTTTTAGTGTCCCCGCGGCCCGGTCCTAGACCAGGCCTGTGACAGCTCGTGACAGCTAACACCCAGGTACCTATTTTACTGCTAGGTAACAGGGGCATAGGGTGAAAGAAACTCTGCCCATTGTTTCTCGCCGGCGCCTGGGATCGAACCCAGGACCACAGGATCACAAGTCCAGCGTGCTGTCCGCTCGGCCGACCGGCTCCCTATGCTTAGGCTGTCTCAGCTTTTGTTACTACTTTTATCATTTCAACTGTACAAAAAGTGAACTTTTCAGCCCGTCCTAATAGGGCGCGTTTTTTACGTTACAGTAACCAATATTACAGGTGCATCCTACTACTAAAACTAACGACTTACAAATACCTATGGTTTCTAGGCATTGCTCACGATAGGTTAGGTGGGTTGCTTGGGTTCGTACGGTTCTGGTTAGGTTAAGAGGTTGAATTTTTTTACTGAGTGGCAAGTCAAGAGAATATTTGTTGCATTATATTTTTTATTTAAATAACTGGACCAATATTTTTACAGCTGACAGGATTTGTTTTACTCAAAGGTGCATTATCTGTTAAAAAAAAATAGGTTTATTGTTGCACACAATGGTGCTACATAGCCTTCTCGGCTTGGTGCCTTCTTTTAATAAATACTTATTGTTACACACAGCCAAATTGTGTAATAGGAAGAGGTTTTGGACCCCTGCTTCCCCCTCTCTTTTTTAACAGGCTATAATAGTCCATATAGTCATAAGTATTCAATGACAAAATTTTTTGAAGTTTGCACAATAGGGCACAAAAGGTCTGATCAAGACCTTTTGTGCCCGCTGTAATTTTTTTGGAATGCACAATAAACTAGCGCTCACAGGATGAGTTTCGGTGCTCAATATACTATTACTCAGGATGAGTATGGGTGCTCAATATATTACCACTCAGGATGAGTATGGGTGCTTAATATATTACCACTCAGGATGAGTATGGGTGCTCAATATATTACCACTCAGGATGAGTATGGGTTTACAAACTTCCATTTACAGGATGAGTATGGGGTGCACAATACACTACCTCCAAGATAAGTATGGGGTGCACAATACACTACCTCCTTCAAGATAAGTATGGGGGTGCACAATACACTACCTTCTTCAAGATAAGTATGGGGGTGCACAATACACTACCTCCTTCAAGATAAGTATGGGGGTGCACAATACACTACCTTCTTCAAGATAAGTATGGGGGTGCACAATACACTACCTTCTTCAAGATAAGTATGGGGGTGCACAATACACTAGCCGCCTCCAAGATGAGTATGGGGTACACAATACACTAGCCGCCTCCAAGATAAGTATGGGGTACACAATACACTAGCCGCCTCCAAGATAAGTATGGGGTACACAATACACTAGCCGCCTCCAAGATGAGTATGGGGGTGCACAATACACTAGCCGCCTCCAAGATGAGTATGGGGGTACACAATACACTAGCCGCCTCCAAGATAAGTATGGGGGTACACAATACACTAGCCGCCTCCAAGATGAGTATGGGGGTGCACAATACACTAGCCGCCTCCAAGATGAGTATGGGGTACACAATACACTAGCCGCCTCCAAGATAAGTATGGGGGTACATAATACACTAGCCGCCTCCAAGATAAGTATGGGGTGCACAATACACTAGCCGCCTCCAGCGGAAACAATCAATATGGCATTTCTGTTTTAGTCATTAAATCCATCGGTTTCGTTATCTAGCGGTTGTCGCTCGATATTACGACCAATTCCCGCTAACCTTTTGTGATAATTTGTTTCCAGTAAACAATTGTTGCGGTACAGTAATTAATACTTTTGTTCACATGTTTTTTCTCATTTATTTTCTCATATTTCTCTCATTTTTCTCTCATATTTTCTCATTTATATAAATGAATTATATCATTTCTTAAGACGATATTTTAAATTCTTATTTTTCCGCTAATTTACTACTGTTATCTTGAGAAGTTATCTTGAGATGATTTCGGGGCTTTAGTGTCCCCGCGGCCCGGTCCTCGACCAGGCCTCCACCCCCAGGAAGCAGCCCGTGACAGCTGACTAACACCCAGGTACCTATTTTACTGCTAGGTAACAGGGGCATAGGGTGAAAGAAACTCTGCCCAATGTTTCTCGCCGGCGCCTGGGATCGAACCCAGGACCACAGGATCACAAGTCCAGCGTGCTGTTCGCTCGGCCGACCGGCTCCCTCTGACATACTCACTCTATGTAAATTATATCAATGTTATACTGTTCAATTGACATTGCAGTTGGCATCCATGAGGGAGGGAGCCGGTCGGCCGAGCGAACAGCACGCTGGACTTGTGATCCCGTGGTCCCGGGTTCCATCCCAGGCGCCGGCGAGAAACAATGGGCAGAGTTTCTTTCACCCTATGCCCCTGTTACCTAGCAGTAAAATAGGTACCTGGGTGTTAGTCAGCTGTCACGGGCTGCTTCCTGGGGGTGGAGGCCTGGTCGAGGACCGGGCCGCGGGGACACTAAAAGCCCCGAAATCATCTCAAGATAACCTCCTCGTCGCAGCCTAGTTAATGGTCAGTTTATGTGACACCAGCCTTAAGTTGGGTCAGATTCACGAAGCAGTTACGCAAGCACTTACGAACCTGTACATCTTTTCTGTATCTTTAGCGGCTTTGTTTACAATTATTAAACAGTTAATGAGCTCCGAAGCACCAGGAGGCTGTTTGTAACAATAACAACAGTTGATTGGAAAATTTTCATGCTTGTAAACTGTTTAATAAATGTAACCAAAGCCGACAAAGATTGAGGAAAGATGTACACATTCGTAAGTACATGCGTAACTGCTTCGTGAATCTGGCCTCACGGGATTTATCAGGGGTTAATACAACCACATACGAAACCAGTACATCTTTCCTTTATCATGGCGGCTTTGTTTACATTTATGAATCGGTTGTTATAAACAACTTCGTAGCGCTTCGGAACTCATACACTGTTACGTAAATGTAAGCAAAGCCGCCGTGGTGTGTGAAAAGATGTAAAGGTTTCGTAAGTGGTTGAATAAATTCTTGACTCCTACAACCCCTCACGTTGTTGTTGTTAAAGATTCGCTACCTGGAACAAAAAGTTCCAAGTAGCACGGGCTATGGTGAGCCCGCAGAGTTTAAAATCCCTCACGTCTCTGTCGTTCTCCTCTCCTCTTCAGGAGCTCCTGCCACGGGAGTCCTCTTGCCCTTCATCTTATCCAGGATCCTCTGTTTGATCCTCCTGGCGTAAGCTCTCTTGGCTGCAGAGTACCTCAGGTGCGACTCTCTCGTCTCGTCCTCTTTCTGTGCCTCTTGTAGCTGCCTCGCCCTTACCTGCTCGATCTCGTTCAAGAGCTCCTCTCGCTTCCTGACCTTCTCTTGGGCGGCCTGAAGAACAGAGAGGGAAGGGAACGATAAAGTTTGTGTTTTAAGAAGATATAGTTACTGTGGGTGTAAGATATAGTCCCCATGAGTGTAAGATATAGTCCCTGTGGGTGTAAGATATAGTTCCTGTGGGAGGGGAAGAGTGGGACAGAGCAGTGTAATCTTAGAAGATTACAGAAGTAGCCTAAGGGGGCTAGAAATAGCCTAAGCTACTCTATCCCTTTGAGATGTATTTCTTTCTTGTCTCAATAAACATACTTGAACTTGATCTTACCCCAAACCAAACCGACTTACCCTAATAATATTCACCTCAACTTGACATGTAATCTGTACTATACACATAAATATACGACCGGTCGAGTGACACAAACTTTGTATTAAAAAGGGATGCATAAACTGTTTATTTAATAAATTAATCTTGCACTTTTAGAACAAGTTCATAGTGATCATTGTGAAATCTGCTGAGAGTGGAGAATTGATAATAGAATTAGTGCCTTGTAAAAGAAAATTGATGACCTATTTTATATTAATAATATTAGCCGAAATATTTCACAGAAGTATTAAAAGGCGGCAAATACAAATTTGTCCCCCCCCCTCCCCAACGATGGACTCGGGAGGGTGGGGGCTATATGTAATATAATATAACACCTTTACAAAGAAGATTAGGTGTTATAAGCTTATCATATAGACGTTGGATGTCAAGTTATTAATAAGGAGGGATGTCACATGTTGAAATTTAAAATTGATTGAGATTGGGTATATTAGCAAAGTTTTTAAGTTTATAAATGATGAGAGAAACGGGTGTTGTTAATCAGTGGTGTTTTATGGAAAGGTTAATAGAGGTTTGTAGGATATTTTTATTTTTCTGTTTGAGTTTAGTGGATGATTGGATTTGGTAGTTTCCTAGCATTTAATACGAGGTGGTCATTGTACAAACCAAGTGTAAATCAATGGGATAACTATGATCGAGAAGAAAAGTAATTATAGTTACCCATTCATTGTGTGGGTTTTCTCTTATGGGTCTGGCTGACGAATATATCACTCAGAACTTGTTAGTAAGCTTTCAAATGCACTAATTACATGAACACTTATGAAAATTAGAGGTTTATCTACTTTATTTAGTCTTTATTGAATGTACCAAGGCGTAATAACGACGACATTCGACGTTAGATAGGCAGGTGTTTGTTGAATTGCGGTACTGTGCAAAGACTGACAGTTTACTCAGAACCAGTCTCAATTACAATGCTATTGCCTTAATTAGTTTTGCAATGCTTAAATCTCCCCTAAACACCACGAACGTATATTCATATACTTGATTTATGTAATGGATGCACAAATTCACATATAATTATGACTGAAGTTGATAAAGCAGTATTGTTTAATAGCCACAGCCAGTCCTCATTCATATAGAATAACTTGTATCTTGTAGTGTTTTTACCCTCTTTGATCATTGGAACATGGAATTGTTTTGGAGATAATGATGTTACGTTATGTTTCGTTACGTGAGGTTTCGTGAGCACATATTTGGAGTTTGAAATTACGACTTTTTATACCGAAAATATGCCAATTAGTGAAAACGGTGATGGGTCAAATTTTACCCAAAGGTCCCCTGCAGTTTTGAAAATATCTGAAATTTCGGAAATTTGACTCCTGAGTTTGATTTTTGATCCAAATTCTGACTCTCTGCACCTATTTTAATTTTCAAATTATGACTTTTTATACCGAAAATATGCCAATTACCCGAAAACAGCGATGGGTCATATTTTGCCCAAACCCCCCTGCAGTTTTCAAAATATCTGAAATTTGACTCCTGAGCGTGATTTTCGAGCCAAATCCTGACTCTCTGCACCTATTTTCATTTTCAAATTATGACTTTTTATACCGAAAATATGCCAATTACCCGAAAACAGCGATGGGTCATATTTTGCCCAAACCCTCCTGCAGTTTTCAAAATATCTGAAATTTGACTCCTGAGCGTGATTTTCGAGCCAAATCCTGACTCTCTGCACCTATTTTCATTTTCAAATTATGACTTTTTATACCGAAAATATGCCAATTACTGAAAACAGCGATGGGTCATATTTTGCCCAATCCCCCCTGCACTTTTCAAAATATCTAAAATGTCAGAAATTTGAATCCTAAGCATGATTTTCGAGCCGAATTCTGTCTCTCTGCACCTATTTTCATTTTTAAATTACGACTTTTTATTCCGAAAATATGCCAATTACTGAAAACGGCATGGGTCATATTTTGCCCAAACCCCCCTGCAATTTTAAAAATTTCTGAAATGTCAGAAATTTGACTCCTGAGCGTGATTTATCAGCCGAATTCTGACTCTCTCCACCTATTTTCATTTTCAAATTACTACATTTTATACCGAAAATATGCCAATTATTGAAAACAGCGATAGGTCATATTTTGCCCAAACCCCCCTGCAGTTTTCAATACATCTAAAATGTCGAAAATTTGACTCCTGAGCGTGATTTTTAGGAGAATTCTGACTCTCTGCACCTATTTTCATTTTCAAATTACGACTTTTCATACCGAAAATATGCCAATTACTGAAAACGGCGATGGGTCATATTTTGCCCAAACCCCCCTGCAATTTTCAAAATATTTGAAATGTCTGAAATTTGACTCCTGAGTGTGATTTTTCAGTCGAATTCTGACTCTCTGCACCTATTTTCGTTTTCAAATTACGAATTTTTATACCGAAAATATGCCAATTACTGAAAACGGCGATGGGTCATTTTTTGCCCAAACCCCCCTGCAGTTTTCAAAATATCTAACATGTCGGAAATTTGAGTCCTAAGCGTGATTCTCGAGCCTAATTCTGTCTTTCTGCACCTATTTTCATTTTCAAATTACGACTTTTTATTCCGAAAATATGTCAATTACTGAAAACGACGATGGGTCACATTTTGAACAAACCCCCCTGCAGTTTTTAAAATATCCCAAATATCCTAAATTCGACTCATGGGCCATAATTTAGAGCCAAATTCTGGCTCTCTGCACATATTTTCATTTTGAATTTACGACTTTTTATACAGAAAATATGCCAATTACTGAAAACAGCGATGGGTCACATTTTGCCCAAACCCCTGTTGTTTTCAAAATATCCCAAATATCCTAAATCCTACTCCTGAACCATATTTTGGAGTCAAATTTTGGCTTTCTGTACATAATTGCAATTTGAAACTCCTACTTTTTATAACGAAAATATGCCAATTACTGAGAACGGCGATGCGTCACAATTTGCCCAAACCTCCCTGCAGTTTTCAAAATATCCCAAATCCCACTCCTGAGCCATACTTTGGAGCCAAATTCTGGCTCTCTGCACATATTTTCAGTTTGAAATTACGACTTTTTATAAAAAAAATATGCCAATTACTAAAAACGGCGATGGGTCACATTTTGTCCAAATCCCCTGCAGTTTTCAAAATATTCCAAATATCCCAAATCCGTCTCCTGAGCCATATTTTCGAGCCAAATTCTGGCTCTCTGCACATATTTGCAGTTTGAAATTAAGACTTTTTATACCGAAAATATGCCAATTACTGAAAACGGCGATGAGTCACATTTTGCCCTAACCCCTCCTGCAGTTTTCAAAATATCCCAAATCCGACTCCTGAGCCATATTTTGGAGCCAATTTTTGGCTCTGTACATATTTGCAGTTTGAAATTACGACCTATTATACCGAAAATATGCCAATTACTGAAAACGGCGATGCTTCAGATTTTAATCAAACCATTCAGCAGTTTTCAAAATATCGGAAATATCGCAAATCTGACTCATAAGCATAATTTTTTAGCCATATGTGCCAATGTGCTCACTGCACATATTTGGAGTTTGAAATTACGAATTTTTATACCAAAAATACATATGCCAATTAGTGTATATGCCAACAGAGTTACCAAGAAGTTTGTTTATCGGGTAAACAAATGTCGATGGAATCTCCAACAAAGTGAATGTCCTGAAAGATAGTACTCGAAAGGCAGACCCTGATAGTAGAGCTTTAACAGACAAAAGATACTGTGGCCATTTATAATGCAGTTATTCCCAGAGGCTACCAGATGATCAGAAATATAAAACAAAAGACAGTGGTCCAGTGGTTTAAGGCATGTGCTTGGGAGTATCCAATATGCAGTTCAAATCCTCCTGATGGCTCGTACTGATTATCGCAGAGAACTGGAGGTGTAAACCGCTGTTAATTCGGAGAGGAATTTTGAGGAAGTTACAGTGAACATTCACTGTAACTTCAGATACCAGTGAACATTCTAACTATGTCGCATAAATCTTAGAAACAGGTGAAGATAATTAAAGGGGCTGTATACAATCCACCAGAACACAATAGAAAGCTGAAGTAGGAATAAGAAGTAGTGGAGCTTTAATAATTATCATACAAGGGCCAGCAACAACTGCTTATAGAATAAAGGTAAAGCTTATAATTGCCTTCAATCATAGAGAGATATATTGGTATACAAGAAACCCATGTGCAGGGCCTGATACATGGAGAGAAAAATTAGACACCACCTAAGCAAACTTCATAACCCATTTATGAAAGATAAAAAATGCAAATAAGAGAAAGAAACCAACCAACCTGTGTGTGGAGGTGGTGTTGATACTGGAGATACACCTGTTCGCTGCCTTCCAACTCCTGCCGGAGACGCTGGAGGTGGGCTCGTTCAGTCTCCCGGCTGGCTGCTCGCTCTTCACACCTCCACCAGACAGCATCCACCACAGAAGAAATAATAAAACACACCTATTACGCATGTACATTATATCCTAGCAGAACTGTCTTTCTGTGTATCTGTCTCTCAGCACCTCTGTTTGTCTGTCTCATTTTATATCTTTGTTTTTCTCTCTTTATCTATTCTTCTCTGACTTGGGTAGAACCGGCATCCTTCAACAAAAAATCCATGAAAAGATATCAGAAATAATTAAAATATATGAACATATACAGCATTTCACAGTCTGTCATCACATCAACATATCCCCTTTTATCTTTCTCTCTCTGTTTCTATCCATCACTGTCTCTGTGGTGGGGGTGTACGGAAGCGGGTGTTGTATCGACGGAGGACCGGAACACGTTCCAGATGTGCGATGAAGTGACTACTTCGACTTCGAGTCGAAGATGCTACTCAGGTCAGCACAGGGATTTGTGCTACTAGAACCTATATGTAAGTGACATCAAAATTTCTTCGGCTTAATAAGGGCAAAGTACAATTATAATTTTTTAAAGTTTTGCCAAAATCAGTGTCATTTGTTTTACAATATAGTAATAAAAATAATATGCTTATACATTTTAGGAGGGTCTAGACTCCTGAGTACACAATATAGGGTCATTCACAAAGAGATTGGAAATCACTGTTCAAAAGGGTCGAGCCGGTGGCTGAGTCTCCTCGGATTTGGTATATGAGGGTAAAACATTGTTATTTGGAAAAATGTGTCAACCTCGACCAGCCTATGCTGGGCACCTACCCCACTGTAATCACTATGCAAAGTTAGGTGAGAGTAGGAATAGGCATACTAGTTCCATGCGTCTGGTCTCTAGCCTCGGGCCGACAGACAAACATTGATATATGTGTGTGTGCATATATATACATGCATATGTAACTCACAATCTATCGAGGTCCTTTTTGAATGCCTCCTTCTTGTGAGTCTTGTGGAGGTGCTGTTTCCATCGGTCCTCCTTAAACTGTTGTTGGTTCCTCACCACCACCCTCGCCCACCTCGCCTCCTCCTCCAGGTGCTCTCTCACTCGCTCCTCCTTTTCCTTCACCTGTCTTGCTCTCTCCTTCAGCACCTGTGGGAGAGGATCGAACATGGTCACACCTGTAAGGAAATGTTCGAACACTGCCACACACCTGTAGAAAGATGCTTTATAATTTACACAGGCATGTAAATTGGTGGTTCAAAACCTGTCACACTTGCAGGGAGGTGTTCGAGGGAGGTGCTAGCCAAGGGGGAGATCTAGATACGCCTAAGTACAGGTTTCTTGTCTTCGGCAACGAAAGCGACAACAAAAGTACAATATCTTAGTTAGTGATTCAGGTTCATTTTCTTTAGTGATGTACAAAGAAAACGATATAAAAATATCAGAAACTAAAATAAACGTTTAAGACCTTAGGGCACCTCGATAAAGTGAGCAAATTCTTCAACACGTAGATTTCAATTAGGAATTTTTTTCTTTTTGGAGGAGGGAGTGTAATTGGTTGTAGAGCCTGCCATCCACTTCCAGGCTTCCCCTTCACCCACCTGCTCATGGATGGTGTGGGCTCTCTGCTTTGGTGTTGTGGGGGCGGGTGTCGTGGGAACGAGGGTTCGAGCCCTCGTCACTATTCGCTGCCTTTTCTGTGCCTCTCGCTGAAGTTCTTCCACGCTCCTCTTTGCCAGGTCCTTCTCCGCCTTCGCCGGCGACTGCTGCTGCGTCTCCTTTTGCCAGGTAAGGGTGGAAAGGAACCAACAGAATGAGCGGTTGGTAGAGTGAAGACAGGGTAAAAATACGTAGTTTTGCTGTTCTTGACATGTGGCTTTATAGAAATACAAACATCAATCATAAATTTTCTGTAATCAGATCTTCTGTAATTTGTATAAATAAAATAATAATTATTATAAAATTTGTATTATGCCATACAAATGATTTAATGTTTACATATCAATTTGTGTACTGTCAGGAATAGCTGAAAATAATAAAAAAATAATGTGATAATGGAGGTAAGATAAAGTTAGAAACGAAGAAAAGAATAATAAGAGAAAATCAAGAAATGGATGAGGGGGTCGAGAGAGGGGAGTGTAAGATGGATGAGAATTCACTGAGAGGAGGATGTCAGATGAATGAGAAATGGCTGAAAGATGAGTGACAAACGGACGAAAAATGAGTGAGGGACGGATGAAAGTTGAATGAGAGACGGGTGAAGGGCGAGTAAGCAAAGTACTACGGTGGACACTCATACAATGAGTCACGGTGGACACTCATACAATGAGTCAGTCCTCGGTGGGTATCGATCGTGAAACCCCGACAGAAAACAACCATTCTGCATACACAGCCATACAGTTTCGGTGAGAATTATTTCTGAAACATATTAGTCCAATATGATATAAGGTAGACATAAAAATACACATAATATATAATGGTGTGAATATTTGTATACAATGTATTATTTTACACCCAAATAAAATAATTATTACACTTTTCGCCATATTTATTCAGTTTCACACAGGCTATAATATATGTAAAATATATTTTCTCGTTCAAAAGAGTTAATTATCTCATGAAAAAGTAAATTACAATAGTTCATTTTCTCATAAAAAGTTAATTTTCTCATAAACAAGATCAGTTCCTCACAAAAAAAGTTAATTTCCTCATAAAAAAGTAAATATCATCATAATACTTTATCGCTAACCTCACTGAGTGTGACGTCATGGAGCTGAGCTCGTAGTCTCTCTATTTTCCTGCGAATAACCGCGTCCTCTCTACTCTCCAGTTTCCTGCTCGACTCTTGCCTCTTCTGGGTGTCGCCTCTGGTGGCGCATTGAGCCAGTTCTCTCATCTTGGCGGCGTCGTGGCTTGTGAGGCAAATTTTGAGACGCTGGTGACTTCTGCGAGTTAGATCAGCGAAATCTTTCTGCCCACCTCGTTCCCGCGTCCATTTGGTGATCTTGGTCGCCATGTTTGTTGTTAGACGCCGTAGCCATGGCAACGCGGCGTCATTATTCCTCCATTTAAGAGTGTTCGTATGTTATAGAATGGCTTCATTTGCTGTGAGTATCTTATTTTTGTGTCATGCAACACTATGTAGCACAACATAATAAATAGATTTCAGCATTCAAAACCAGGCTGTAAAAGTACAAGCTTCATAATTTTAATTATGTATTTTGTGCTTGATCAATATCTCATAGTTTAAAAAGCGGTACAGTATTTAGTTCATGTTTATTTGGTTCAAGTTCACGTATGTTTATTGAGACAAGAAAGAAATGCATCTCAAAGGGATAGAGTAGTTTAGGCTATTTCTACCCCCTATTTATTTGGTTACTATCCGATTGGCGGGTGGTGTTCAAGGGAAAACTAGTAGGGTAAGGCTTACTATTGGGAAGGGAAAGCTCTCAGCCTGTTAACAAGAGTCAGAAGCAGTCTACTCCTATACACACCTGTGTAGCATCAAGAACCTCACACCCTGTCCTTTGCAGGCATGCTATTCTGACCTTCCTGTATAAGTTAAATTGAGACGATATCACAGTCTTTTGTTGATATTGCCTAGTTACAGCCCCGTTCCTGTGCTAGGTAAGTCCACTACGGGCTCACCATAGCCCGTGCTACTTGGAACTTTTTGTTCCTAGAAGCAGAATCTTAAACAACAGCAACAACAGTCTTTTGTATAATGAAAAAGACGGATCACGTGACTTGGGTACCTCCGGACGGTATACGAGTCTATCGATCTACCGGACGGTACAGGAGTCGATCGATCTACCGAACGGTACAGGAGTTGATCGATCTACCGAACGGTACAGGAGTCGATCGATCTACCGAACGGTACAGGAGATGATCGATCTACCGAACGGTACAGGAGTCGATCGATCTACCGAACGATACAGGAGTTGATCGATCTACCGGACGGTACAGGAGTCGATCGATCTACCGAACGGTACACGAATCTACCGTCTTCTCGTTATTTTTGCCAAGGGCCAAAGCATGTGTTAGACTAGGTAAGGGGAGGTAAGGTTAGGATAGATTAGGTTGGGCAGTCAGAGGTTTGTTTACGATAAGTTAAGTGTGGATTGGCTATGCTTTGTTTAAGTTTAGACAGATTATATTTAGCAAAGTTAGATTAGATTGGTTTATGTTCGGTAAATTTAGTTAGATTGGGTTAGGCTATGTTAGATTAGGCAAGTGCAACATAGATTAGATTTGGTTAGGTTAGTGAAGCATAGGTCGGAGGCCAGGTCGACGACCGGGCCGCGGGGACGCTAAGCCCCGGAAACACCTCAAGGTAAGGTTGGTTTGGTTAAGTTTTGAATAGTACCAAATTCTACTATCTAATTACTTAATACGTCAATGTTTATACTATGGTGCACATAGTTACAGAAAGTACTATCTAAACAAGATGATGGGTTGGAATGTGTTATTTTTTTTTTGAGATATATACAAGAGTTGTTACATTCTTGTACAGCCACTAGTACGTGTAGCGTTTCGGGCAGGTCCTTAATCCTATGGTCCCTGGAATACGATCCCCTGCCGCGAAGAATCGTCTTTTCATCCAAGTACACATTTTACTGTTGCGTTAAACAGAGGCTACAGTTAAGGAATTGCGCCCAGTAAATCCTCCCCGGCCAGGATACGAACCCATGACATAGCGCTCGCGGAACGCCAGGCGAGTGTCTTACCACTACACCACGGAGACTGCATATTGCAGCTGCTGAGGTCAGACAGCAGTGTGCTGAGTGAGATCATTGGCTCCTCCCTCAGGTTCCCTCCCTCTCTCATCACCCCTACCCTCCTTCCCTACCGTCTCCCTCCCTAAGCACCTACCATGGCGTGATCCTCGCCCCTTACATTGATCACCTGCTGCTTGAGCTGTTGTCGCTGCCACTTGACCTCTATGTAGCACAGACGAAAATGAATGTATTGCAAGGAAATGTAGATGTTTATCTCTGAGAATATTTGGCAATATGTTTATTGTTTGTGATGTGTGTCTATGTATGTATTAACACGATGTACTGAACGGGGTGAGAATAGCTTGAGCTACCTCATCCCTTTGTGTGTATTTTACCTCAATAAACTTATTTCAATTTCAATTTCAATGTATTGCATGTTGGTTATCATTGTAAAATGCACTCCAATCACCTTATGTGGGTGAGTGGTCAATAACCTACTGCACAACATGTAGAACATGCATCTAATTCTGTCTATGTGAGACAGACGAGGAGGCATGCTAGTTAGTATAGGATCTTCTCGACGGGTTATCTTGAAATGATTTCGGGGCTTAGCGTCCCCGCGGCCCGGTCGTCGACCAGGCCTCCTGGTTGGCGGACTGATCAACCAGGCTGTTGGACGCGGCTGCTCGCAGCCTGACGTACGAGTCACAGCCTGGTTGATCAGGTATCCTTTGGAGGTGCTTATCCAGTTCTCTCTTGAACACTGTGAGGGGTCTGCCAGTTATGCCCCTTATGTGTAGTGGAAGCGTGTTGAACAGTCTCGGGCCTCTGATGTTGATAGAGTTCTCTCTCAGAGTACCAGTTGCACCTCTGTTTTTCAACGGGGGTATTCTGCACATCCTGCCATGTCTTCTGGTCTCATGTGTGGAGTGTAGTGTGGGTATATAGTGTAGAGTGTAGTGTGGGTATATAGCCCTCGCTGCAGAAAACATTACACAAAAGTTCAGTTCTAGTTTACAAACTTCACAGTAAACCCTGGACTAGCAAACGAAACAAATAAACTAATAATAATTCATAAATTTGATAACTTCCTACATTTACAATGTAAATATGCAATATTACATAGCACATGAGAAACTAATTTACAACGACCATATTGTAGAGTATATATATGTGAGAGGAACAAGGAGGGAAATTATTAGGGGAAAGCACCAAGCCATTACGAGTATATAGCACTGGGAAGGGGTCAGGATAAGGATTAGGGATGGGACGGAGGGAAAGGAATGGTGTCTCAACCACTTGGACAGTTGGGGATTGAACACCGACCTGCATGAAGCGAGACCGTCGCCCTACCGTCTAGCTTAAGTGGTTGGGCGTGAGAGGAACAAGTGGAGTTACTGGAAATGAAGATATATGTCAATCCATACTCTCCCATCCCAGTGGTGCGGAATTCCTGGCTAATATACCGTGTTCACCGGCCATAAACAACGTTCGTGTGTTCCCATGTGTGGCAGCACCTTGCATCAGCAGCAGTCACCATGGGGCCGGTAGTGTTGTGTTGTGTGTTGAAGGAGGTGGACCTCTAGCTCTCGTGTGGGTATATTGCCTGGAGTGTCGTGTGGGTATATTGCGTAGTGTCGTGTGGGTATATTGCCTGGAGTGTCGTGTGGGTATATTGCGTAGTGTCGTGTGGGTATATTGCCTGGAGTGTCGTGTGGGTATATTGTCTGGAGTGTCGTGTGGGTATATTGCGTAGTGTCGTGTGGGTATATTGCCTGGAGTGTCGTGTGGGTATATTGCGTAGTGTCGTGTGGGTATATTGCCTGGAGTGTCGTGTGGGTATATTGCGTAGTGTCGTGTGGGTATATTGCCTGGAGTGTCGTGTGGGTATATTGCCTGGAGTGTCGTGTGGGTATATTGTCTGGAGTGTCGTGTGGGTATATTGTCTGGAGTGTCGTGTGGGTATATTGTCTGGAGTGTCGTGTGGGTATATTGTCTGGAGTGTCGTGTGGGTATATTGCCTGGAGTGTCGTGTGGGTATATTGCCTGGAGTGTCGTGTGGGTATATAGTGTGGAGTGTCGTGTGGGTATATTGCCTGGAGTGTCGTGTGGGTATATAGTGTAGAGCGTAGTGTGGGTATATAGTGTAGAGTGTAGTGTGGGTATATAGTGTAGAGTGTAGTGTGGGTATATAGTGTAGAGTGTAGTGTGGGTATATAGCCTGAAGTACCGCGTACGTACATAAGCTTGAGTATCGTACTCCAGCCTATGACTCATTCACTACACTACCCAGGGTAGTGTAGTGAACGAGTCTGGCTATTGATCACTGACACTAACTATGTTATTGAGGTATGTGGGTATTGATCCCAATGACACCGTGTAATGAAGGTGCTGCTAGTAGAACTATTATTATTAAACTGTCATCCTCACTTCTGTGGAAATAAACATTACATTCCCCTGGACTCAATAGTCTTATTAAGACTACTCAATAGCTCGGTCGATGGAGCTTTGGCCTCATACGCCTGGGGTCCAGGGTTCGAGTCTCCTAGAGTGAATGGAACTACTACACTAATTCTACAGCTCCATCTATCGCCACGATAGACTATTGTTCTCAATTCTACAGCCGTCCTGCTGGGGAAATGACGAGCTACAGACATTGGGAAACGTTACATTATGTTCTTTGGTATTGATTCCCAGAAGTGGGAGAGCCTTGGGCCAGGTTCACGAAGCACTTACGCAAGTACTTACGAATGTGTACATCTTTCCTCAATCTTTGACGGCTTTGGTTACATTTATTAAACAGTTTACAAGCATGAAAACTTCCCATTCAACTGTTGATATTGTTATAAACAGTCTCCTGGTGCTTCGGAGCTCATTAACTGTTTAATAATTGGAAACAAAGTCCCCAAAGATTGAGAAAAGATGTACAGGTTCGTAAGTGTTTGCGTAAGTGCTTTCGTGAATCTGGCCCCTTGTCGTACACCATCCGTACCGTTAGCTGTGGGGATGGTGGTACCTCGGTACCGTCTGCTCTGGGAAGGTAGAAGAATCTTAATAAAATGTCATTCAGAACACATCACCTATGTGAGACCAACCCTACAATATGCAGCCAGTCTTATAGTCTATACCTGAAACAGGTAATGAATCTAAAAATGATGTCGATGACTGCAACGAAGCTCCTTTCAAAATTACGTGCGATAGGATAGGAGGGAAGACTAGAGGAACTTATCCTTACGACGAAAACAAGAGGATAGAGAGAAGAGAGGCGAATGTGAGAGAACATATCCTAAGGTATTGATAAGTTACATATAAAGTAACTGTATACAATTAATTCACCCGGGCACTGCCCCGCTCCTGTGCCAGGTAAGTCCACTACGGGCTCACCATAGCCCGTGCTACTTGGAACTTTTTGTTCCCAGTAGCTGATTCTTAAGCAACAACAACAATTAATTCCACAAGCGAACGAGTGTAAGCTTGAAACACACATGAGTTAAGAGGTAAGATTAGTTTTAAGCTTGAGAATAGTAGGACAATTAAATGACCCAAACGGGCAGGTTGTGCACGTAAACAAATCTATAATTTGGAAAGTAGATATGATTGTATACATTTAAGTATGGAATTAGACAACAAGGGGTGGCTGCCAAGGCGGGGTCCAAGAGCTGAAGTTCGAGCCTGTAGGCAGAAACTGGGAGTATAAGTAATTACGCTCTAACGGCAGGAATTTCATCAATTAACTTCGAAAGGTATATTTAACACAAGCGTTGAAAGATAAGAGATAAGATAGCAAAATGGTGTGTATGTGTGTGTACTCACCTATTTGTGCTTGCGGGGGTTGAGCTCTGGCTCTTTGGTCCCGCCTCTCAACCGTCAATCAACAGGTGTACAGATTCCTGAGCCTATTGGGCTCTATCATATCTACACTTGAAACTGTGTATGGAGTCAGCCTCCACCACATCACTGCCTAATGCATTCCATTTGTCAACCACTCTGTGTGTGTGTGTGTGTGTGTGTGTGTGTGTGTGTGTGTGTGTGTGTGTGTGTGTGTGTGTGTGTGTGTGTGTGTGTGTGTGTGTGTGTGTGAGGTGGGGGGTGTTATACACCGCTGACTAACGTGGGACAGAGCGGTAAACCAGTACACATTTGGTAGTGATAGCGCAAGCCTCGCCTCTCTCTCTCTCTCACTCGATCGACTTAACTGCTAATTTAAGGTAAGTAACTGTGTATATACATCATCTATGAATTTACCTTCCACGGAAAGAGCTCAAGCTCCTGGACCCCACCTTTGAAGCAACTCCCAACGTTGCTCTAGTAACTGCCACAATTCACAATTTAAAATTACCTGACAACACTTCACAATCCTCTGACAATGTTACAGTAAGTTAATGCGTTTGTTTGGATACGTCAGGTGTTATGTGTTACAAATCTCCTTGGTGTGTAGGGATACGTTATGTGTCACTAATCACGTGGTGACACATTTACAACATATGGTGTTTGTCTGTATATGGTGTTTGGGGTCCTCCTCTCTACCTCTAGTGAGCTCTGAAACCTTCACTGATAAAGTTTCTGGTGATATCACTGTTTGCGTGTGTGTATTCACCTAGTTGTGCTTGCGGGGGTTGAGCTCTGCTCTTTTCTCCCGCCTCTCAACTGTCAATCAATCAACCTTCCCCCCACCCCCATACATACACATCCCTAGGAAGCAGCCCTTAACAGCTGTCTAGCTCCCAGGTACCAATTTACTGTTGAGTGTGTGTGCGTGTGTGAGAGAGTGCATGTGCGTGCGTGTGTGCTGGTCATTGTCACTCGTATTCCCAACACTTATAGTAATCAACATGTCACAGTAGAGTTGTTTCGTGAATTATTAATGCGGTATTTCCAATTAAGTTCCAATCTTGTCATTTGCAGTTAGATATCGCGTAAATAATTCATACATAATCAGACAACTAAGGTGTTCAAGGAGACTTGGTGTGAATGAAGGAAATAGGTGAGCATAGTGACGTAACTGTTATATCATGAATAAGCAATCTATCAGCTGTCGGAATTAAACACTGGACTTCCGCCTCCCACGATAGCAGTGATGTGTGTGTGTGTGTGTGTGTGTGTGTGTGTGTGTGTGTGTGTGTGTGTGTGTGTGTGTGTGTGTGTGTGTGTGTGTGTGTGTGTAAGCAAGTTGAATCAAGGTTTAACGATTACCGGCCGGTATTAACGAGCCCTGCCTCATCAACAAAGGCCAAATGCTTGTTAATCCAGCATGTGTGTGTGCGTGTGTACTTACCTATCAATACTTACCTATCGGTGACTACCGGAAAGTGAGGTGTATAGCACTTTATGCCCCGCCTACAGGCCTTGTTTCACCTGGTATAATTGAATTATTCTGACGATCGGGTTCTTTGTCGAATTGGATCTTATCGTTGAGAATGGAGGTGGCTTACACAACCTCCTTCAGTATATTTCACGTGTTGACCTCTCGTTCAGGGCACGAATATTGCTTTACATTCCCACCTTCCATATGTGTCCTATTGTCCCCCCCTTTCTCTCAGTTTAAAACTGGTCTTGTTTACCGTGTCTATTCCTCTATCTTGTATGTTGTGATCATGTCTCCTCTGTTTCTTCTCTCTAGCGTTAGGGCTGGCATTGGTATCGTTGCAAACATCTGCAATTTTTCATTTTTTTTTTACTTTTAACAAATTGCAGATTCCAGCAACCTCTACTTTCTGGTGGTCCATCACGACATATTTGTACTTTCGAGCACATAGTTACTATAAGTACTTTCATCATAGGAGGCTGGGTTTGTATATATATATATATATATATATATATATATATATATATATATATATATATATATATATATATATATATATATATATATATATATATATATATATATATATATATATATATATATATATATATATATATATACACAGGCTTTCTGTCTCCGACGTAACAGTTGCAGGCCTCATAATCACTATATCACAACCCATAAGCAAATAATCAGTATATATATGCAAATTAGCTCATTTATGTGCAAGTTTAGAATTTCTTAAATCTAATTTTACCTATATTTTTCAGAGTTAAATTGTGGGATGAGAAGAATTTCTGCCCCTGCTTGGAAATACCATTAACTGAGGACAGCATAGCCTCATATCGCTGTCAATGACAGCATAGCCTCACATCGCTGTCAATGACAGCATAGCCTCGCATCGCTGTTACTGAGGACAGCATAGCCTCATATCGCTGTCAATGACAGCATAGCCTCGCATCGCTGTCAATGACAGCATAGCCTGGCATCGCTGTTACTGAGGACAGCATAGCCTCATATCGCTGTCAATGACAGCATAGCCTCGCATCGCTGTCAATGACAGCATAGCCTCGCATCGCTGCCACTGAGGCCAACATAACACCACAGCGACCACGAGAGGTCAAGACTTTCTGACTCAACTGCGGACCGCAGCATCTGTCAGCATTCAGTAAGCAGCAGCATATGTGAACGAGGTGCAGCCAGTCATATATATAACACCCACGTCGGCGTACACAAGAGAACTGGCGAGGAACCACAAGTGGAATAGTAAAGACGAACATTTTAGCAATTAAAATAAAAACATTTGAAATATGATTCAACAGGCAAAAAAAATCTGTTGCGAAAAGCATACAAAACAATCCTGGACAAGGTGAAAAATAAAGAAAAGGTAGGAAAGTAAGTAGGGGAAAATCTCAGAGGAAGAACACAGTGAAGAAGGAAGGACAGAGCAGGAAAGGGAGAAGGAAAACAACATATTGGTTCTGCATGTCAGTTCAGCCATTCAACATGGCCGCCAGCTACGACCCAGTCAAGCGCCTTGATGTAAGTACGGAAAACATATCCAACTGCACTGGCCTCTTATTTTACTGCTAATTGATGAATATTAACAATTTCATAACAAATGTCAACCGCTGCCCTTGCTAATGGACAGGTGTTCGTTGCAATGTTAATTACTGATATTGTTTACCAAGTCAAACTATCTCTCAACGTTTCAGTGCATTAAATTGTTTTTTTACAATGTGAAAGTTGCAGCTATGAGACTTAAAGTATTTTAACTAACATTGATGGATATAAGTAGTATCGTACACAACACGAATCACCAATGGATTTTAAAACATACATTCCTTACCTTATTCAACACTAACCTAACTCAACCAAGCCTACAACCCGTTCTCGCACTTGCTTACAGTCAATATTGGCTTATTTAATAAGTGCAAATGTGACATACTAATTGATTGTAAATATTTTAGTTTACCTTGAAAAGCTTCATAAAAAACACCGACCTCACCTAACCTTCTTAGTATGTTAAGATAAGCATCTTATTGCTTCTTAATTACAATTATTACTTAACCTATACCATTGATAGGTAAAGTAATAATTGTAAATAAGAAGCAATAAGATGCTTATCTTAACATACTAAGAAGGTTAGGTCGGTTTTTTCTATGAAGCTTTTCAAGGTAAACTAAAATATTTACAATTAATTAGTATGTCACATATGCACTTATTAAATAAGCCAATATTGACTAAGCAAGTGCGAGAACGGGTTGAAGCCTAACTTCAGTTAATACATCCTAACCACACGATATATAGCGTTTTAACAATCGGAAAACAAGCTTTGTCGAGCCGTCTTGTGTATAATTCAATCATACACCACAATGATATACAACACAGGGGATTATACTATCATTAGGACAGTTCTTTACACAATAATCTTCCGCCCCGATCCGATGATTTCACAATTCTTCTCTCTCTTTTCCCTGTTATGGTTGGTCTTTGTTCACTGTTCTAGATCAGATCCCGCTGCTAGTGGCCATGGGTTTTGGTTAACTTGATGACTAGTATGTGGTTTGAGTCCCTTCCGGACTTACAGTGAGGCGGGAGACTCTCGTTCTCACTGTGAGGCTAGAGTCTCGTTCAGTGCACCTATATTTGTTGCGTTTCTTGTAAATTAACCTGTAATATCACCTACACATTCTTATTAGCGCCTGTACTTGTGCCGTTTCCTTCACAAACCAGCACGTGTTCTACTTGTATCTACAACTGTATCTAAACTTGTACATTCACTAATTTCCTCTCCTTCGTCTGTATTGTACCTGTACCTCTGCCTGTATTTGAATCTGTACGAATATATGTAACATATATGCACTTGTATCCATCCTTGTCCATACATACGATCCTGTACCTGTACTTGTATATGTCTCTGTACTTCATACTGTTATCACCTGTACATATATATATATATATGCAAGATAGTATCTGTAACAAGCGACCTTATTATTAATTTAAGAAAAAATGACTTATTTATTGAATTCTGAAGTTTAATTGTATATGAACAAATCCACAAGGCCCGTGACGAGGATTCGAACCTGCGTCCGAGAGCATCCCAGAAGCTGCCTTAATCAGCTGAGCTACGACATGGTAAAAAGAGTTGAAAAGGAGTTGAAAGGAGTGTAATGAAGTAAGGGCGAAGAGGGAGAACGGCCTATTGACATAGCTCGAGTGCATGGGGGGAGTTGTGTAAAACCCTGGTTTGTGTCTCGGAGAGGCTGCAGGATCCAGTAAGTTCAGTAGAACTTCGGTTTCAACTCCTTTTACCATGTCGTAGCTCAGTCGATTAAGGCAGCGTCTGGGATGCTCTCGGACGCAGGTTCGAATCCTCGTCACGGCCCTTGTGGATTTGTTCATTTGATGCATCACGCAATTGTGATTTCTGTGTTTAATTGTATATATTTGCTCTTCTGTTTCGAAGTGCATTTGTTACTCGTCAAAGAAGATTTAGAATATATTTGTGTTCTTTAAAGATTTCGTTGCAAATCCAATGCTTATCCTAATGTAGAGTTTGTTTGACAATCATTGATTTTTTTATTATTTTATACTAATTGTAGCAGAGCTGTTTGTTATCTTTGATCCATGTTTACGTGTCGGTGGGTCAGGTTACGGTCACGTGTTTGTGTAGTTTGTGACCACGTGGGCAGGTGTTTGTATAGTTTGTGACCACGTGGGCAGGTGTTTGTGTAGTTTGTGACCACGTGGGCAGGTGTTTGTATAGTTTGTGACCACGTGGGCAGGTGTTTGTATAGTTTGTGACCACGTGGGCAGGTGTTTGTGTAGTTTGTGACCACGTGGGCAGGTGTTTGTGTAGTTTGTGACCATGTGGGCAGGTGTTTGTGTAGTTTGTGACCATGTGGGCAGGTGTTTGTGTAGTTTGTGACCATGTGGGCAGGTGTTTGTGTAGTTTGTGACCATGTGGGCAGGTGTTTGTGCATATGTGACTTAATGTTTTTATCGTTCTCCTCTGCTTTTCACGTACCTATTTCTTCACATTTCTTGCTCTCTGTTGCTCCTCATCTTATTCTCTCGTTTCTCATTCTTATTTTCCTATTTTATTCGTCTCCATCTTACCTCTATACACATTTTTCTGCCATCTTCTTCTCCACTCTCCGTCTGTTCGTACGTTTTGTTTCTATCATCCTATCGTCTCCCTCCCTTCTCACTCTCCCTTCCTATCTACATCTATCCTTACCTTCATCTATCTCCCTTCCTCCCTCCTTCCTTCCTTCATTCTCACTCCAGCGTCCCGTCACTCTGGAAACCAACACAATGCAGGTGGCGGAGGAGTTCTGGAGTCGGCAGGACCCTGATAGGACCCGCAGGATCCCGCTAGCAATGGTCAGGGACCGGATCCTACTGACGAAGGAGGCGGACGGCATCCCCAATGCCCTGGTGGTACAACTCCTTCGCCAGGCAGACAACAACAGCGATGGCTACCTCGACTACGAGGAGTACATGCGCTTTGTGAGTACACACTCATTGTTTTGTTTGAGAGAGATAACATCTGGTTATATCGGAAACATATTTACATCCCGTATTTTCGGATGTGCGGGTTGGGCGTCTAATATCTGCTATGATAGAATAAACTTTTTACATGTCACTGTACCTCACTAGGCCGAAGCCTCAGCAGAGCACTCGAGGTCCCGAGAGGTGTTCAACAAGGCGGCCTTGAGTGTGGTGCCCCGGGGAGAGCGTACCGCCGACAGGAGGAACTACCTGCAGGAGTACAAGTGCTGCCCTCCGGCACTCTTCATGGTCACCGCCACCTTGGTTGAGGTCAGTGGGAGATTGATAAAGATTAAGCCACCCAAAAGGGGGCACGGGCATGAATAGCCCGTAAAGTGGGAGGGGGGGTTTCTTTCTTTCATGTGTCCTGGCCTGACTTATCGTCCAGCATCCGATACCCAGCGCCTGTGATTTAAATGCGATTGATTTTGAGTTTAGTAGGCATCCATCAGTCTCAGGAGACTATGGAGTTGCGCTCTGGGTGACGGTTGTAGTTTATCTACTGCAATAATTCAGTGTTCTGGTCGTTGCCTGACGCTTGTATAAGCCTCATTCATTTCTCATTTAGTTCACGTCTAAATATTTTAATTTTATTATTTTTCCAATATATGTCAGTGTTCTTAGCTTCACATTCAACCATGTCTAAAGTCAAATTAAAATTAATTTCAGGGTTTAGTTTCCAAATCTAAGAGGAGTCCTAGACTCAATATCCAATCATTAGAAGAGACACCTGTCTGGGATGAATAATACGTTGATGTCTGCTATATAAGACAGCATATGCAAGCAGTGAATGTTCCTAAGAGTTTATAATACAGTAATGTTCAACAGATTGTGGTGTTCATTTACTACGCTGTGGATATGAACAAGCCGATAGGGCCGTCTGGACCTGCGCCCCTGTACTCCCCACTCATATACAACCCGTACAGACGCTATGAAGCCTGGCGCTATCTCACCTACGCTCTCATTCACTCTGGGTACGTCTTTACAGCATATTATGGACGCTATAGATATTGCCAGACATTGCTCTGCGTCAGTGTGTAAAACAAAGGCAAGTTCTCAAGTCATAACTTTATTGTAACGTTGGTTTAAAATATAAAAAAGTTTATGCTGAAAACGTTTTCTTTGGAGAATTTGGCTTTCTGTAAACGGAAGTCTCGGGTACTCATATAGTTTTCGATTCACATTATTGTCAATAATACAACATTAATCAATCCATTCCCGTGAGCGGATTTCCTCCCTGAGGACAGGTTGGATTTATATCATATCATATTTTGTTCGTTCGGGAGGACTCTTGTAACTAATCAAGATATCAAGAGGCTCCTGTAACTAATGTATTACATCACCAGGCTCCTGTAACTAATGTATTATATCCGGAGGCTCCTTTAACAAATGTATTACATCAGGAGGCTCCTGTAACTAATGCATTAACCTGGTTGATGGGGTTCTGGGAGTTCTTCTACTCCCCAAGCCCGGCCCGAGGCCAGGCTTGACTTGTGAGAGTTCACATACCCACCGCAGCCCGCCCAACTATGTCCAGAGGCTCCTGTAACTAATGTATTATATCCGGGGGCTCCTGTAAGTAATGTATTATATCAACAGGCTCCTGTAAATAATGTATTTTTGCAGGTATGTCCACCAGGCTGTTGCTTGGAGCGGCCCGCAGGCCCACATACCCACCACAGCCCGCACATACCCACCGCAGCCCGCCCAACTATGTCCAGAGGCTCCTGTAACTAATGTATTATATCCGGGGGCTCCTGTAAGTAATGTATTATATCAACAGGCTCCTGTAAGTAATGTATTTTTGCAGGTATGTCCACCTGGTGTTGAACCTGGTGATGCAGATGGTGCTGGGGCTGCTGCTGGAGCTGGTCCACGGATGGTGGCGTGTGGGAGTGATCTACCTGTCTGGGGTGCTGGCGGGCTCCCTGGCGCAGTCCATCACCCAGCCCACTGTGTACCTGGCGGGGGCCTCCGGGGGCGTCTATGCTATAACCTATGCTCATGTAGGCAACCTCCTGTTGGTTAGTATACCCTCGTGTTGGTCAGTACACCTTCCTGTTGGTCAGTACACCCTCCTGCTGGTCAGTACACCTTCCTGTTGGTCAATACAACCTCCTGCTGGCCAGTACACTCTCCTGCTCACACAAACAAACCTACTCTGGACGCTCAACTCATCTGCTTGGTAGGTTAGATGTCCCAGCAAAGGATGTTATTAGCTGCTAATAAACATTTGTAGGTTGTAAATAACCTAACCCACACATATGAAATGAGTGTAGGCTTGATAAGCGTCCTGGAAGGATCGAAACGTCGCATGGCGCCGATGTTTCCATGCATGAACCAAGCCTCACCTTATTCATCTGGAACTCTAAATCGCCTAAAACAATTTTTACATTCCTCCTGTAATTTTGTTTTTATAATTTGAATTCATGTCCTTGAGTGTGACAGGAGAAATGATTTGTAATTATTTAATTTGTTCATATTTGTTTATGAATTTAGGTATATTTGCTGTGTGTTTGTAAGTTGACGTGTGGGTTTGTGTACTTGTGAGTGCTAAGAGTATATGTCTCACTGTTACAGTAGACAAGTAAATGTCCATATTTCCCATGTCTCACATGTCTATATTTCCACAGAACTGGTCAGAGATGGAGTTCCGATGGCTGCAGTTGATAGTGTGTCTGCTGGTAACGGTGTTGGACGTCAGCTACGCCCTCTGGGACTCCTACGGCAGCCCCACGCCCTCCAACGTGAGTCTACAAACACTAACCTGCCTGGCTGTCTGAATTGCGCTTTACATTGCTTTGCAACTGTTTATTACTGTTCTGTTTTTTGCATCTAGATGCCCAATGAATGATTATCATACGTTTACAAGTTACTCTTAAGTGATGGCATACATTAGAAAAACAAATATTGTTATAACTACTTATATACATAATTGCATATGCGGAAAATCCAAATTGAAATTGAAGCTGAAATATTTTAAACCGCTAGGCCTTCGTCAGAAGCTAGCTATACTGGAGTGAAGAGGGAAGCCTAGCCTAGCTACTGATTAACACTTAATGGTTGAAAATGTTAAAGCTTCGTTCATATTTCAATGTGGATTCCATTACAGCTGCAGATCATATAAACAAATGTTCCACTTCGAGTGCAGGTCTCATACTATCTCAAGTGTGTTCCTCTCATAATGAAAGTCTCATACTACGATATGTGTTCCATATCGTTAAAGCAGGTCCCATACTACCGCAAGTGTGTTCCTCCTACAGACAGGTCACATGGCTCACCTGGCAGGCGCTATCGCCGGGGTTCTGATGGGCATCAACATCCTGATGAACCTGAAGAAGAGGCGGTGGGAGCGTATCTGCTGGTGGGTCGCACTCTTCCTGTACGTGGCTCTGGTGATCACGGCCGTTATTCTCAACGCTGCGCTCCCAGTACCCGACTACTTTCCCGACAACGACTACACCGACCTGGTAGTTGTAAGAGAGAACTACCTCAACAGCCTCCTCTAGTCTTCAAAGAGAGCCTGGCATTCACCCAAGTCTTGTCCAGCTGAAGCCTTCTGGAACTTGAATTACACAAAAGTAGCTATGTAAACAGCCTAGCTTCTTGCTACAGAATTGACTTTTTTTCCCTAGTACACAGTATATAAATGTGTACTTGGATACTGTCAATAGACGCTAGACTATTTTTTTCTAACATTGTTTAGGATTATAAATGTTGTCTGTGGCATTTTTTTTATGCACCAAGGCATTAAAAACTGATGGAGAATTTGTGTATAAGTCGACTTATGGGCACAAGAATATCTGTGATGATCTATTTCGTATTCTCAAGTATTTTGATAATATATGTTTTTTGTAAAATGGATGAGCTTTTGATGTTAAATTTAAATTACCAAGCATGCCTTATTACTCTAATGTTTAACATTAAATCTATCCATATGAAGATTTTTTATAGCTTGAAAGATATTGTTCATGTGTGTGATAAAATGGAATCGAGAACTCTGTATAAATGTATGTAATTTGAACTTACTGGAATCTGAAGGTTTAATAGAAGAGATATTATTTATATATTTTTTAATGTAGTTGTGAACAAATAGATGTTAGAATGTAAGTTTATATTTCTGTGTTATGTAATGTTTCTGTGATATCTGACGCAAATGCGTTTATAAACTAGTTACCAGCAGCTATAAACTAGTTACCAGCAGCTATAAACTAGTTACCAGCAGCTATAAAATAGTTACCAGCAGCTATAAACTAGTTACCACAGTTTATAGCTGCTGGTATAGCTGATCACAGTTGATTACTACAAAGTTCAATTCGAATAGTTGTAAGTTCCTGTCCGAAACGCTATATGCGTGTTAGTGGCTTTGCAAGAATGTAAGAACACCAATGTTATGTACTCTCATAAACCTATTGTACCTTCTTGTACACAAATAAATAGATAAGCTAGGATGGAAGGTAAATGATCGGTTCAGTGTCGAATACTCGAAGGCTGAAACGTGCCATCTAGATTTTCCCATCGAGGTTGTCACTTTCAATTGTGTGTTTTTAAAAACGGTGAAGTATTAACCGGAGAAAACTCCTGTTGGTATACGACTTCTAATACAGCATTAGAAAGGGCTATGAAGACAAGGTCGAGGTGGATATGAGTATGGGGGGAAATGAAAACGGTGCCCAAACACTTGGACCATCTGGGATTGAACGCCAGCCAAGCAATATACAAAAGTTCTTGTGGAACACCTCGAGCCATTACCATAAAATCCACATAATTGTACTTCACATGAACATAGAACATTGTAAAGAAATGTGGGTAGTGTGTTTTAGAACACTGAACTGTGTCTTATACAGTGAGCTTTTGATATACATATATTACTCCATAATTAACATCTAATCTTTAATTTCATAGTTGTCTTTGGTGGTCGAGTTTGGACCTGGGTTTAGGTAAGATTGATTTCAATCTCCATCTATTGCACTAGCTGGTGAGTAGCCATACTTTGGGAAGTCTCTTTTTGGTAAAATTCATGACTGTGCTACTTCCTACCATCTGCTGTCATCTCCATACAATCTGGTATCTACACCTAAGTCCTACCCATGCTGCCTGGACCTGTAGCAAGTATTCCCACCACCACCCTTCATCCTCCCACCCAAGGAACATCTTATATACATTGCTATTATAATAAGATTTGACCAATGATCGTAATAAAGCATAAACATTGTATTTTGTTTCGTTCCTAAACAACCATCCTGGTTGCCTCTTTATTGAGTAACCCCAAACTACAGACGCTTAAAAAAAAACTTGAATAATAATAATAGAATAGCTTGTTTTCCTAAAGTCTGGGGCTAATCCAAACGCCTAATCAAGAGTAGGAACACTTCAATAAACAGGTGCAGAAATACGCATAAAACTAGACAGTTACTTCAGTGTGTGCCAGTAAATAAAAATTAAAGCAAGGGGCACCACGCAAATTAACACAGCACTGACTTATTAATACGCAACAACAAAGTTGCTGCATCCCACTAAGACAATAGTCATAAATATACATTATCACCGGGGAAAAAACTTCACTGATCATCACAGTATATATACAATTAGTAACTAGTAGCAATGCCTGACGGTACTCCTAATCCCCCACTACTAACACAAGGTACTTACCCAACACACCTCCGCACTCCAGCAGCGCTCAGCACTGACTGAATTGTCAAGGCTTGACGTAGGGTGAGAATCTCTGGCCGCAGGCTACGTGTTGCCAGGTCGACAGGTTCTTCAAAACTTACACAAACTGGTCATTGACAAGTGCGGAAACCATAGGTAAGCCTTCATAATATTTCTATACACCTCTTAACCCAAAGTGGTACATGTATTACAATACTGGCTGTTCGAAATATACCACCCCATCCTCCTATTTAACTAGTACGTATAGCAACTGTGGATATTTAGTGACGCAACGGACAATTAGATAATAGTAGTTGGTACCATTCATTTTATAGATCCCGGAAGAAATGAAACTAAAAACCAAACTTAAATGTTCCGAAGTCTAAAATAACACATTTATGCACTATATTAGGCTTCAGATACTGTGTAGTTCGCCAGGGAAGACTACTTATTACATGCCTTTGTATGACTAACCAGGTGTGATGGGAATTTTTAGCATCACGTAGCTAGTTTTTTTAGTCCAGCTAGTTTATCTGACTGGATGTCCTTAGTTGACCAGCGGCTGACTGGAAATTTAATCGTCAACGCTTCGACTTCGGAAAATCAATGACGAAAAATATCAGCGACTTTCTTTAAAAAAAAAAAAATATAGCTCGCTTACAATGATTTGTTCATATATTTCATATTTCTTTAAATATTTTATACTCTTTAATTCACAAATATAATGTTGCCTTTCTTTAGAGAGCGAAGAAGCTGAGCTCTAAAGTGATGTTTGAAATATTGAACTAAAATAGGTATTTTTTCTTGAGAAAGTTCTCACTTCTCTACTTAACGCAGGGAATGTGTGTGTAAAATAAAATATAAATCGTAGTATATAATTATTTTTATAAATTTATTATGCATTTCAACATATGAATATATAATAAAAATGACTGTAATACGTATCGTGCACAATATGCACCAAATATATTATACAACGCACACTGCAATATGCAGAGCACAATTTTTTTAATAAAAAATGAGAAATACACAAACATATTGCTGCTATATATATATACACCTTAGTTAGCTCATCAACATAGCTGATATATATATATAAACCTTTGTTAGCTCATCAACATAGCTGCTATATGCAGGCGATGAGTCACAATAACGTGGCTGAAGTATGTTGACCAGACCACACACTAGAAATTGAAGGAACGACGACGTTTCGGTCCGTCCTGGACCATTCTCAAGTCGATTGACTTGAGAATGGTCCAGGACGGACCGAAACGTCGTCGTTCCTTCAATTTCTAGTGTGTGGTCTGGTCAACATAGCTGCTATACAATTTAAATAAATCATCTGTATAAACTCTGAAATGTAAAATAAGGGGCCAGGAGATTCTCCTCGGACATCAAATCAAGCGATTTATTTTTAATTTTTTTACTAAAGCCTTCCCCTTGGCTTCACCTTTTATTACGTTTCCAAGTATACAAAAAATGTAATTTGCTTCACCCACCCCTTCATCAGCTTAAGTCGTTCCACGGGCGAGCCCTCGAAGCCACAAATTATGATATAATAAGTCCGTCAAGAATATTTGGAAACTTTATAGGCTTTGGTGTTCCTTATAAGAATATACATTCAATTCGAGAGACCATACACCCTGTGGAGGGTCAGTATGTTGGGCCTTGGGGGAAGGACCTTGATATATAAAGGGGTAATTATTAAAACAATATGGGACAGCACAGCTCCTGTGCCAGGTAAGTCCACTACGGGCTCACCATAGCTCGTGCTACTTACCCCGCTCCTGTGCCAGGTAAGTTACGGGCTCACCATAGCCCGTGCTACTTGGAACTTGTTCCAAGTAGCTGAATCTATAACAACAACAACATAAAAAAATATTCTGCACATTATACCCAAGCTCCCTGCATGTAAACTCACATATTTAACTTTAGACAACCATACGTGGTCTACACTGCGTGGTTTTTCGATTATAACTTGTTAAAATTCTCCTCTGAGAGCTTCGTGTACCTCCCGGCGTGTCAGTGGATGTACACTTGAGTTTACTGAGTTTACTTTAGCCCCGGACAAAGTTCAGGACTAAAGAATATTTCCTGGCTAGTTAGTAAGCTATTGTGGTGGCAATAATAATGGCCTTGAGTCCAATGCTTTATAAATATCCTGCAATGCGGAGTTAGTGATCTGTAGTTGGCAACGAAGTAGATAACAGGAAGGTATTTTTTTGTATACGTGTTGAGCCGAGCACTGAGAGATGCATATACAGATACTCTTACCTTGCAGGTGAGGGGAAGGAGTGAGGACAGATCATAGAACGAAACTGTTTTAGTGAAAAATACAGTTCCAGGATTTAACTCATTTAGTGGCAGTAGCATAAGATTATATATTAGTATAAGTGATAATGCTTCGCAACGCTTCCGGTTAAATAACTGAGTTTCCCTTCCCTGTGCAATAAGATGACTATTCTGAATCAATACTTGTGTGTGACTGTTTATGGACTAGGTGCTGCGCATATTAGGAAAAGACTGAGGAAATATTATTTGCCAGGGTACGGGTTTGGCACCTAGTCACATTAGGCTCCACCCACTTCGTTGTGGTGCCAGCTATCGTCTCGATTTTAGAGCAAAAACATCCATTTTTATAATAAAATAATATATTTTGACAAATACAATGTGCCGAACCAATGTATTTTATTCACTGTAAAACGGGAGTGTGGGGCTGTTGAGTTGAAAAGAGCTACCAATTTTAGGTATTAATTTAATACCAAGAGGTATTCATTTTAATTAAAAAATATTTGGGTCTTCTTGCTTTTCTTATATATAAATTATTGTTAAATTAAATATATTTGAGCCAGCATTAGTAAAATCAAATAAATATAAAGGTTTATTGCGAGTTAGAGGCCGCATGGTGCAATGTGCGAATTGGCAAGCCTCAGATAATTGTCGTACGACAGTTTCTTGACGTTGGGAACGCTTACGAGAACGGCTGCATGGTAATTGGCAGGGAAGGAGAAAATTATCAAGGGAAAGCGCCAAGCCATGACGACTATATAGATAATTCCACAATTATCATATGATAATTGATCCTTACCAATTACCACATGATAATTGATCCTTATAATTGGGGATCCTTATAATTGGCAGGCTGAATGGTAATTTGCTCTTATGAAGCCAGCAACTAAGATGCAATATAAAACTTTAGATATTTTTCTAAAATTTATACAAGATTATACCCTCATAATTGGTCTGATTTGCACTACTATTTATATTAAAATTATTAATTATCGTTAACATTACAGAGACTGATGTGCATTCGTTTCACTGTAATCTGCTTAGTAATGAAAATACATTATATACAAAGGGGGGTGGTAGGAGAAGCGAACACTCTTACGTATTCAGAGTTAAATGGCAAGTTTTTCCCTGAATGCTCTGTGTTCCCTTCTCTGAGGTTGTGGGTCCCTATAATTGCACCAGTGGTGTTACCCCCCCTTTTTGTACAAAATTGTATTATTGTAAATGCTAGATTTATTATTATTTTTTCGAATGAGAGAAATTACAATGAAAAACTACCTGAATTATGGTTTAGTCTCTATGTTTATAAGTAAATCAGTACAGTTATTAACCTAATACCTAGTTCAGTCTCCTGGCCCCCCGAGAAGCCTAATGTGAATCACAGACATTTCAAAAATATGCCAACAAGAGGTCAATGCACCTCACCCTGCTGGCTGAAAACACCTTTCATAGCTCATTCTAACCCATGTGTAGACTGCAAGTCACAATAACTGGGCTGAAGATTAGACACTCAACCCACCACATCTGAAAATATTAGAAGTGACGATGTTTCGGTCCGTCCTGGACCATTATCAAGTCGATTTGATATTGGTCCAGAATGACCCAAAATGTTGACACTTCCATTATTTTCAAATTTGCGGAATGAGTGTCTTATTCTAACCAATTAGTTTTTCTTCTTAAATTTATGATCAAAAGAAAGGACTCTGCAACTTTGAAAACTTTGTATTAGGTGAAATAATTTATGTTTTCAGGTTAAAATACTGAATGGGTTTAGGCGTCAGTTTCTCCTTGCCAGTGCGCACCGCCTGATGTAATTTTTCCGTGGGTTGCAGGTCCTTTTGATCCCTATTTGTTTAGTTCCCGTATTTTATCACATATTCTTATACAAGACCTTCTCATCCGAGCCGTAAGATAACCAGTAACTTTCTGTCACTTGTATCTAAATTATCAGTATGAAAAAGCACTTCAACACAGGGATACATAGAGGTGTCACCCGTTTCTCGGAGTATATACACTGCGTTTACTTTAGTCTTGGGCTATATATTAGCTGGTTGGTCAGTAAGCAACTGTGGCAGCCATAACCTGCAAGAGGTTGAAAGGCACTAACACCAGCATCAAACCAACATCCAACGTGCTTTTGGGCAATGCCACAACACCATCAGCTTTTCCGGGCATGGCCGTCACCTTCCGCCTTCCTACCGCTTTTATGTCTATCTTCTCTTGACTTCGACCATGGCGACTGTCGCCCCGTTGTAGCCCTCTTCTCCTCCGTTCCTTGCTGCTGCTTCTCAGGTATTACCGTCTCCTCTTACCGGCACCTGCTACTTGGACATGGCCTCGACCTCCTCGACGGTCTCCGGGAGGGGCATGTGGTTGGTCTCCGGGAGGAGGAGGGTCAGGAGGCCAGCAACCAGAGACAAGATGCCGAAGAGTGTTGAAGGGAGAACGTAGTGGACGTCGCCCTGCCGGTGTAAACACGTCATCCTTAGAAGAGGAACACAATAATACGTATTCCAAAAGTGTCAAAATTGTCATTGTAGTTTGGTGATGTAAGGGGTGAACCACCACTGTGGTGACTGAGGACTTACAAGTAATGTGATGATGTAGGGGGTGATGATACAACCAATCCTGGCCATCATGGAGCTGGACCCCACCGCTATGTTGCGGACCTTAGTGGGCATCAGTTCCCCGGTGTAGAGGTACTGCAGCTGGAACACCGCCGTGGTGAAGAACTTGCCAAAGCTCACCAGGAAGAAGTTCACGTAGATCTGGTCTGCTGGGAGGGAAGGAGGGAGAGGAGGCAGGAAGGGAAGGAAAGCAGAGATGATGAATGAAAAGAGGAAGAGAGCAAGTGGGAGAAATGAAGAGGAATGGAAGCAGGAAGAGCGTGGGATGGAGAAAGGGGAGAATAATTTAATTTTCTTATCTGCGTTTTTCAACGTGACTTAATATTCAGCCTTAAACTTATATATAAAATTAAAATTGTCTTTTTGAAACTTTATAATTTATTTGTTGTTTCTCGTTTTCTGTACTCAGTATATCTGTCTGAGTATGAATGTGTGTATATACGAGGGTTCTTACCCTCGGGTACAGCCAGGATGGCCAGCAGACAGGCGCTACAAGCTACAAACAGCCCACACATGGTCGGCCGGCGCCCAAACCTGCAGAAAACAAGGACACGAGACTGAGAAAGAAATGCATTTGTGTTGTCTAGGACAACACCACGTTGTTGTTATAAACGTATGCGTTAGTGGAAACACTGTCAATAAATAACACACGTTACTGAGGCATATTAAAGCCCAAATAGGGAATTTTGTCTTATGAGGGAACCCAATATCACAAAAAATTCATAATGGCGTGATCTGAAGGAGAGGTGTAAGGGTGCTTTTCGTAAAATCCTTGTTGGGCACCGGTTCGGGCCTCTGGAACCTTGCAGTGAATTCAGTAGAGTTGCGGGTGGATTGGCTTTTGTCCTATCGTGGCCGAGTGGGTTGAGGCAGGTGTCCGGGAATCACCAGAACGCTGGTTCGAGTCACCCCAGTGCCAAAAAAATTAATTCCTCATTGGGAAAAATGTATATTGTTTGAACTGAGATGAGAAATATAAGGTACCTACCTATCCAGCGGGGAGATGAAGACAATGGCTGAGGGCAGCTCGACCAACCCGGATATGAAGATCATGAGGAAGGGATCGGCCTTAATGTTGGCTCCGGAGAAGATGAGGCCGTAGTAGACGCTGGCTGCCACGAACCACAAGAAGAAGGATATCATGCATCTTCGACGCATCACCGGGGTTCGAACTAGGGTGAACTGGGCGCGCATAGAGTTGATAATACCACTGTACCACTTGGAGGATTGTGTGGCCGTCGCCTCATCTTCCTGGATAATATAATACAGTTAGTAAATAAACTAGAGACTCGACACATCTGAAAATAGAAGAAGTGCCGACGTTTCGGTCCAAGTTTCGTACCAATACGGACCGAAACGTCGTCACTGCCTTTATTTCCAGGGTGTCATAATTAATTGATTTTTTTAATAAAAAATTGAATTAAAACAAATGGACAATATATATATATGTATATTAGAAAAATAGAATTAATAAAAATGTTTAAGATATTCGACAGGTTTTCATCATTTTGACTACATAACTTTCTGCTGTTAAAGAGAACCTTTGGTATTATGAGCCGGACAGTAAGTACATCTTTTGGGTGTTAATAAACAAGAAATAATAATTTTAAAGAGAAGAAATACCACTGTATTATGAAATGAGCTGATTTTAATTTAACTTGAGCAATTTTTGTTTTAAGAATAGAGAAATTAAGAGTGTTTACAATTGTTGCTTTGTTTCTGTATATTCTCTGTTAAATACTGTGAGGAAAATTTTATTTTTTTAGTGGATACTGTATTTCACAGTGATTATTATTTTTTTTTTACTTTCTCTTGTAAGCAATTGTATTTCTCAGCAGAATTTGCAGTTTCAATGGCAATAACTTTAAAATGAAAACAAATGAATATACATATTTTATTACAATACTCAAGAACCTTTCTTGATTACCCTTCCACACTGAGCAGTTAAGAGGCCCTGTAAAGTTTGAAGATTTAAAATAATGTTCATTCTTGTTCTGCTCACATGGTTCGAACATTATATTATAAACGCATTTTCAGATAACAGAAGATCCTTGAATTTTTTATAATACAGTTGGTTATAAGATTTGAGCGTTAATGGAGCATTTCCATAATTTCCATCGTTCATCAGTGTTAAAATGTGAGGGCTGAGTGTCATTAGGTTAGGACGTTAAGTATTGTGGGGTAATATATTTTCTGGTCAATAAAAACACACAAGAAAAGTTTCCTTTAATGAGACGGTGTATGATGGAGGGTAGTGAGGTCTTACCTTGGTGTGGGCTCGGGAGATGAGCTTCAAGACGAGCTCGTCAGAGGGCAGCTCCTTCCCGTTCCTCCGAGCGACGTCCTTCAGGATTTTCAGCGCTTCTGGGAACCTCCCCTGAGATGCGAGCCACCTCGGAGACTCCGGCAGGATCCTGTGAGACAGGACACAAGCGGTGATGATCAGAACGCATCGTCTTTGACAACTTCGAGCTCCATGGTCCTAAGACACAGCTCCACTCTCCAGCCACTTGCTCAAGGAACCTCAATGTACCTTGACAACTTCGAGCTCCATGGTCCTAAGACACAGCTCCACCCTCCAGCCACTTGCTCTAGGAACCTCAATGTACCTTGACAACTTCGAGCTCCATGGTCCTAAGACACGGCTCCACCCTCCAGCCACTTGCTCAAGGAACCTCAATGAACCTTGACATCACACTCTTGAAGACAATAATTACCGAGGAACGTTTGGATTGGAGTCACCATATGAAGAAATGTGATTCAAGAATATACTTAAACTTCAGTTAAACATTTGGGTAGAAGGTGGCGTCACCCGCATACTTACCAGTAGTAAGCAACGAGGATGAATGAGGACAGACCAATAGCCAGCTCCAGGTACCGCCAGCTCCTGATGAAGTAGGCCATGCCCGGGAGGATGGCGATGCCCATACCGAAGAAAAATGCATACATCATTCCAGTCATCGTCCGCGCCTCGGGCTTCACTACCTCCATCACTGTAAGGAGAAGGAAGGAGCTGGGGATAGATATTTACTGGCCTCTGTGGCACCTCACTTGTAACCTCTTGCCACTTTGATGTCTTCTCTCTAGAGCTAATACCCCTTTGATTCCAATCCGACAGGTAACACATCCCAGCATTATCAGATGAACCAACTTTATCCTCAAGTATATAAGATATTTTTATGCCGGACAGCTTCCTAAGTTCACGGCTCTCCTATATTCACTGGGTTAAACCAAAGACCTGACTGTCCCCAGAGTAATTTAAAGGTTCTTATATACCAACCCAGAACGAAAGTTATGACCATCAGGCCAGCACAGAGGAAGGCAATGACGAAGCGAAGTGCCAAAAACTGCATGTAGGTGCTGACGAAGCTGGCCGCAGTGCCGACCAGCGCTGCAGCCACAGCACACAGCACAGCCATGGTGCGGCGACCGTACCTGCAACACAATGGGTACCTGTGAGAAAATCTCTGGGGCAGGTCAGCGGCATCGAACCAGTGCCATACGTCGCGACCCTAGAATGTCAGTCTTATCCACATAGTTCATCCATGACGACCATAATTCTTTCACTATCAATATTCTGCTTCTAGTAGATAAATAACATGTATTGTTGCTGTATGAACTATGTTCTATGTATTCTAAAAATAAAAAAAAAACTTTTTAATATCATGTAAACTAAGCATTAGTTTATGTATTAAATTGCCTCCACTGTACAATAATATATTGCAAAAGCCATAGATATTGCAGTAGAAAAAGTTCTTGGTAGTTGTCAGTATAAATATCACGTGAGTAGATTATATATATATAATGAACGTAAATATATTGTGATCGCTGCCGTGGAATGAAAGGTCTTTAGAGGACCTCACCTGTCTGAGAGCTGACCCATGACGAGGGAACCCACGAGGAGACCGCTCATGTAGGAGGCCTGGACGGTGGCCATCATCCAGCGACGACTACACACCAGCGAGAACTGTGGCACAAGATCGTCATTATTGTACCTGCTGGGGAGGTGTTGTTCACATGGTCGTCATTATTGTACCTGCTGGGGGGGTCTTGTTCACATGGTCGTCATTATTGTACCTGCTGGGGGGGTCTTGTTCACATGGTCGTCATTATTGTACCTGCTGGGGGGGTGTTGTTCACATGGTCGTCATTATTGTACCTGCTGGGGAGGTCTTGTTCACATGGTCGTCATTATTGTACCTGCTGGGGAGGTCTTGTTCACATGGTCGTCATTATTGTACCTGCTGGGGGGGTCTTGTTCACATGGTCGTCATTATTGTACCTGCTGGGGGGGTCTTGTTCACATGGTCGTCATTATTGTACCTGCTGGGGGGGTCTTGTTCACATGGTCGTCATTATTGTACCTGCTGGGGAGGTGTTGTTCACATGGTCGTCATTATTGTACCTGCTGGGGGGGTCTTGTTCACAAGGACACTTCTGATGTGTGACTACACTTCTGAACTCTGGTCTGTTCACATGATTGGTCTGAACTCTGAAGTAATTCTAAGCTTCTGCATCATCCCGTCCTCATAAACAAAGGCCAAAGTCCATTCCATGCACCCGCCAACCCCCTGTTTATGAATGAAAAACGGTTTACACACGTCTCACAACTGATCACGTTTGAACACTTCCGGAACAAGTGCTTCACTGACGACTTTTGTTCGAACCACAACGCTGTAAATGCTTCACCCACGTACTACAAATACAAATAATCGCCAACAGAACCTAAACACTTATCCTAACCTATGCCTATATTTTCACAATATGCTAATATATTATAATATTAATTTATATTTAAGAAAATTCCCTGAACAGCATGTTAGTATAAAATTATGAATGTGTCTGTGGGGTCGACCGCTGGATGTAATGGAATAGAGTCGAGGAATGGTTTGAAAGCATATTACGGTTCCAATATTAGTTAATTGTATATTGTCAAGTGAATCTTTGTCTTAAACAAAGAATATTCTCAAATCATAAATATATCGTATTATAAATCGTTGTTTAAAATATAAAAACATATATGTTTAACACGTTTTCTTTGATATAGTCTGAAGAATTTGATTTTCTGTAAATGAAATTCAAGGAGATAAATAGTTTTCGAATTTCATATTTCACATGCTTGAGAATAATGCATTTAAACGTAACCAAACGTAATGAAACCTAACCGAGCCAAACCTAACCTACCCATGGATAGGGAGTAGATAATAGCGCCTATTTCGTAGTGGTTTTAAGTGATTATTTCTCCCTGACGACAGGTTGATCCACACAGAGATTCGTATACTAACATACTATATATACACAATGAAGTGTATTTCTTGTCTCTGTGTATATCCACTGAATTTACTTTAGTCCTGAACTATTTTTTGCATTAAAGTATTGGTCAGAAAGCATAGATCACAGCCTTAATAACTCCTCAGAGGTTATCAAGGCCGTGATTAAGGACAGACTTTAAGCCAAACATCAAAACACAAGCCCTCCTCACCTCAGAGACTAAAGTAGACTGGAAGACTGAGGGATCAAACACCCAGGAGTCACAGGCGACGGTCGGAGCGTTGGTGACGAGGTGACGGGCGGCGGCGCCCTCTCCACCGACCAGGTCCGGCATCACCGCTGTGTAGTTGTGGTCGTAGTACTGGCACTTGTCGTAGCCCGTCTTGGCGCTCCTGAAGGCGGCGAGGAAGGAAAGGTTTTGTTGGTTAGATTACCGCCGTCGTGTGGGTCAAGAGGCGTTGTTGGTGTAAATAAGAGGTGTGGACCAAGAATATTGCCCTGTGGAATGCCAGTATTAATTTATATTCCACGGGAGGGGCTTTCTGTGGTGTTTTTGAGAGTTCTGCATTTAGTAATAGTTTCATCAGTAAGTCATGACAAGGTTCATCACTGAAAACAGTGACTCACGTGAATATGTCGATGAAAATACTATTAATATTACCGTTGCGAGATATTTCAGGCAGTTAAAAGTTTCAGGAATTCTATAGTTTCAAAGAACAATAACGTTATCAGTACTAGAAGGTCATCTAGTATGCACCCAATATCCCGTTGCATTCTAGGAGATTAGGCTTTGTTGTTCCATCGCCTCCTTGAGCATGCTGGGAGCGTGCAATCACGTAGACTGTACAAACCTTAAATGCTCCACAAGCAACAGTTTTTTTCAACAATAAACTCAACTCAAATGTCCGTCAAGGGTTAGAACTTGAACCGCCATGATGGCAGCCTTTTACCATGTCCACCCAACTAACGGTAACTGTGTGTTTGTGTTCGTTTACCATAAATATTACTTTTGCGGAAGAGGCACGAGCTAAACACTGGCTGTAGAGGTTGGCTGGTGCTCACCAGGGGATAGAGACGTTCCTGAGGTGAAGGGCCGAGATGGAAGCCTCGTCCAGGTCTCCTACAACGTCGTCCAGGCCAGGAACCCGACACCAGTGTTCGGGCGTGAAGCTCAGGAACGCTGTGGGGAAACCTGCCGTTATTATTCTCAAACATTAACTCGGTGTTATTACTTTTGTTGGGAGTGTTGTCCGCTTTTAGTAATTATTTTGTGTAATCTTTGTTGCAGATGATAAGAGATTGTGGAATTAATGTTTCCTTATTCAGTATAATAGATAAAATCATATATATCTGTTTATTGGTCTCCTCTTGATACAAGGGGGTTGAATTAATAAGTATTTTAGCCCAATCACGTAGATATATTGTGAGTATATATAAATTTACCCCAATCTACATTATTTTACTGGAGATATATCTAATGACACTCGATGTGTTGTGCTATAAAATTCCCAACTTTACTGTCAAGGGTCAGTAAGTGCGATTACAGCACCAGGGGTACAGCTGAATTCTCTAAGACAGAGATTACAGGACGCCTGATGTTTTGCTGTCTGGGACTCTGGGTTTTAATAGCTAGTTCTTCCCACTGAATTTCTGTTGGCGCGGTGTCTTGCACACGCCCCTCTGTGGACGCCAGGGAGCGCCGACCTCTGCCTGACCAACCTCCTACCTATGGCCAAAACCTGTCGTACTAGAGAGTATTACAAGTGATGAAGATAGTGTAAAGATAGTCACAGTGATGAAGATCGTACTCAGTTGTGCTTGCTGGGGGTTTGAGCTTTGGTTCTTTGGCCAATTTATATTATATAATTTACATATATTAGTGTGTAGTAAAGATGGTTACAGCGAAGAAGATGTGGCCTCCGTCAACATTTTCCCCGGCATAATACGGACGGAACGCAGTAGGGGCGGCGGCGTACGTGGAAAGGGCTACAGAGGCACATAATGGGCACAGGGACTGAATGCCAGCAATGGTTGGGTTGAGCTTTTAAAGAATCGCTGTAACGTAGCGTAAAATTCCTGTGTATCATTATTCCTAGACTTTTTCTTTACCTTTAGACTTTTCAGTTTCAGACGTATCATGTGTCCCCTATTATTATTCCAGATGTGTAATGTATCCCCAATATTATCCTCATACGTATCATGTGTAACCTATATTACCCCCAAATGTGAAATGTGTCCTGGATATTACCCCAGACTTGCTATGCATCCCAAGTCTTATCCCAAAATGTATCCTGTGTCCTCTTATGTCCCCAGATGTATCATGTGTCTCTAATATTATCCCAGACTTGTCATTGTCCTTATGTCATCTCAAGACGTGCCACACATGTATCCACTATTATAATATTATTAGGATATGTCTTGTGTCCCCATTTTTATTCCCCAAACTTGTCATGTATCACCAATATTATCCCAGGCTCACCATGTGTCCCCCAGTGTAGTCACCAAACTTGTCACGGAGAGCCAATGTTATCAATAGACGTGAGAACACATGGTGACTGCCAGTAACAAGTCCACGTTGACACGCTGCCAGGGATCTCTTGGCAACGAAAACGTGTGTGAGTGTGAGGTAAGCTCACCCAGGGGGAACCAGACAGTTCCTGGTGCCTAGGAGCATAGAGCACGATGCCTCTCTCAAGTTTAACATCAGTGGCCAGTGACCTCTTGAGAGGGCTGGCTGTTGTTGCTGGGGGAAGGGAAGGGAGGGTGGGGTAGGGTTCCGACTGTGTGTAAATTAAGGGGTAAGTGAACACACACTAACGTCTGTGTTTGTGGCAACAGAAACACAATATATCTCTTATATCGATAATGGAGATTTACCATATAATAGTTGAGCAAAATATCTTCAGCACTTTTATTTACAGGAGTCATAGCGAGATAGAGAGAGAGAGATGTTCACGACATGTAAGATACAAGCATATTTGGTCCATTTGCCTTATTACACAGGTAGTTAACGGAAGTTCTTGTTATATTTCGTAATTTTGTAAATCATACATGTTTATAATCATTACTGACAAAGGCTCCACACTATTAACGTCTTGGCGTATATCCCCAACAGTCAAAATGTGATGCGCTATCAAACTCATAGCTACTTGCAAAATTGTAGGCTGTTCCCGATTTCTATTCGTGGGTTCTGGGTTAGGTTAGGTTCGGGCAATTTGGTACATCATTTTTTGAGACGTATCAAATCACCCGAGAGGATGGAGTGAGTAAGTACCACAATCCATCATGTAATTTAAGCATTTGGTTGAAGTTAAATGATCTTTTATTGTTGACCAGACCACACACTAGAAGGTAAAGGGACGACGACGTTTCGGTCCGCCCTGGACCATTCTCAATCGACTTGAGAATGGTCCAGGACGGACCGAAACGTCGTCGTCCCTTCACCTTCTAGTGTGTGGTCTGGTCAACATACTTCAGCCACGTTACTGTGACTCCTCGCCTGCATACTGGCACTCCCACCCGACAGTTGATAGATCTTATTCAACCAAACACGATGGCAAACCAGAGTGGACTCACCCGAGGAAACGGCGTGCATGGAACAGATCACCTGCGAGAAGTCAGCTATCACAAACACCAACTTCTGCCAAGTGCCCCAGGACCCGGCCAGCTCCAGGGCCTCGTCGAAGCCGCCGCCGGAGTCCTGTGGGAGAACAGTTCACGAATGAGAAAGAACAGAACTTATGTTGACCAGACCACACACTAGAAGGTGAAGGTACGACGACGTCTCGGTCCGTCCTGGACCATTCTCAAGTCGACAGAACTTAAATCAATTTCAACATCTTAAACTAACGATGTTTGATGCAATAATATAACATTTAGCAAAAAGTAATTGAAGTTAAAGTGACTCTCTATTTAGTGCAGATACAAAGCAAAAATTTAAAATAAAGGACAGAAATGTATTCACGATTATGGCTTTATGTGCGTCGAAAATTAATACTATGAGCAGTGACAGTGAACCACAAGGTAATTGCTGACGGTGCATATGTAAATGAAGAAATGTATTTGTTTTTCACTCAGAATGTTCAGTAATATGTTAATTGTGATGTGTGTCTTGTTGGGGGTGGACTCGAGTTACACACAGTTGGGGGTGAACCCGAGTTACATATTCTTTAATGTATTCTTTATTCGACTTCTTTAAGTTACATATAACTTGTGCGTTTATGCAAGTATGCCTTACATTGAGGCTCACGTTCTCCTCGGTCAGTGACTGATTGGATGAAAACGATCGGCGGTTCTCCTCCCATTGTGAGTGCTTTCGGGTCGTTGGTCAAATAGCTTCGGCAATCAGCGACTTTTTGTAACCAATGAGCGTTCAGCAACCCCGTCCTCTGGCCTCCCTCGTCAAAAATATTGGACTGATTCCAAAGACCCACACATCATACTCTGCACCCAGAATAAACACCTTTGAAATACAAATCATCATCACTACAATATTATCATTTTGCGCATAGTTATGGTCAGGTTAGATTAGATATGTTCTGTAAGCAATTATTTTGATTTTTGCATTTATGAATTAATTTTGCATTTTCAGTGCATCCTCAGGCTGTGCTTGTCCAAGCTGCTGGCGACACCAGAAACGCATTTGTCAATTATAGCGTACTTTGTAACCAAACATTAATTTTGTCGATTATAGATTAATATTGATGCATATTATTCATTTACAAAATTAGTTAGGTCTAGGAGATAGGTTAGGTGTTTTGGTTCTGTTAACAACTCTTTGTCAACCCGTCCTCGACTCAAGTTCATTACATCCAGCGGTCGAGCACACAGAAGCATTCATAGATTTTAACATGCTGTTCATTCAAAACGGGAATTTTCTCAAATATAAATTAATATTATAATATATTAGCACATTATGAATATATAGGCATAGGTTAGGTTAGGTGTTTAGGTTCTGTTGGCGATTATTTGTATTTGTAGTACGTGGGTGAAGCATTTACAGCGTTGTGGTTCGAACAAAAGTCGTCAGTGAAGCACTTGTTCCGGAAGTGTTCGAACGTCAACAGTTGTGAGTCGTGTGTATATCTTTTTCATTCATAAACAGCTGGGGGTTTGGCGAGTGGATGGAATCACTTTTGGGTCTTTGTTTGGGGGACGGGCTGGATGTTTTCAGACTACAGTATTTAGGGCGTGATGAAACAACACCTGGCTTCGAGTTTATGAGCGAGGTTCATTCGAAACTCGAAACACGGGAGACATCTCCCGCCACGCAGGGTGCAGCCGCACCTCCACAGAGCTCCAGTATCAGCTCTTGATACTGGTAATGGCTCAAAAGGGCCACCACTTACGAGCTATTCGTGCCCGTGCCACCTTTTGGGTGGCTTAATCTTCATGTTCATCAATCATCAATCGAAACTCGAAAGGAAGACCAGAACAGCCCGTCCTCACTAACAAACGCCACATGCTTGTTAATCCATCCACCAAACCTCCTGCTTATAAATAACAAACACACGACTCACGATTGATGACGTATGAATTGTTCTTGAACAGTGCTTCGTTTCTGCCTTCTGCTCGGTCGCAGCTCACTGAATGCTTCATTCACCTACTGTAAATACTAATAATGGTCAATAGAACCTCATCTAAGTTAGGGCCTAACTATTCAACAAATTCTAGACTAAAATAGTATTACTTTATATTTTAGAAAATACAAATTTTAAATACGCAGTCCCTTAAAATTGCTGAGTGAGTCTTTGGGGGCGGAGGCTGTCTGGACCTGCTTAGCTGAGGACAGATTGCCACTCCCGCGGGTCAAGTCATTCAGACATTAACTATGTGCAGTGAACATTACATTGTGATGGATACGTCTACAGTGTATGGATACTCTCTACCGCCGGGTGAGAGAAGCATTGATTGCTCACAGGAATACATAATGACTGAATGTTGTAATGTTGATGAACCGTTGTGTAAATACTAGTTCGCTCTTAAGAACATTATGATGCCTTATAACTAGTGCTGACACTTTAACTACTCGTTTATTGGCTTGGACGATCCTAAAACTGCATTAACAAAATGCAACTTGAACTTGACTCTTTGTTGACTCTTAGAACGTTTAGTTTTTTTTTCCAGGAAATAACAGTAAAAAAAAAAAAAACTTTGTTGTTCGCACCAACAAAATGCGATTTTCGGTCGTGGAACTATTGTGTTAATATTATAAGTGTTGTCAAATAATTAAGATTTTTGCAAAACGTTTTAAATTTTCAACGTGAGACACACGGGAGGACAGTCACTCACTTTCATCAGTCTGACGACTTACCACAGCGCCTTCCTCCTTCCAAGGTGAGCAATACCTCCTTAAGTGAGATCTTCACATTTACATATATCTATCTGTCTATATAATATCTATCTATATCATCATATATACATATAATTTATACTTGTATATACATAATATGTCTATATACATAATATATACGTCTATATACATTTATTTATTTATTTATTTATTTATATATATACAAGAAGGTACATTGGGTTTGTGAGAATACATTAGATAGTACAGTATTTACACTCTTGTAAAGCCACTAGTACGCGCAGCGTTTCGGGCAGGTCCTTAATCTAACAGATAATTTTAAGTAGGTAATTTCTATCAGAATTGATAAATGATAAAGATACATTGCAAGAGAAAAATGAGATGAGAGAGATAAGTAAGTATATTAAAGCACATTGTTATATTAAAGCTCTGATTGATTACATTGACAGCTTGATTAGTAATTTAAACAAGATTAATAGACACCATACAGCAGATTGACAGTACATATAAGACAGCAATGATCACAATGGTAAAGATGTTCAGATTGGGTACATAAAGATTGGGAGACTGGGCAGCAAAAGATACAGATAAACAAGATTTATAAACACCATACAGCAGATTGGCAGCACATATAAGAAAACAGCAATGATCACAATGGTAAAGATGTTCAAATTGGGAACATAAAGGTTGGGAGATTGGGTAGCAATACATACAGCGCAATTTAAAGGCAAAAAGTGAAAAACTATGAAGATGAAATTAGGTACTTTTTAGTATTGATTTTGAATGATGTAAAAGTTGGACAGCTTTTCAATTCAGTAGGGAGTGAGTTCCATAAACTAGGTCCCTTTATTTGCATAGAGTGTTTACACAGATTAAGTTTAACTCTGCGGATATCAAAGAGATATTTATTTCTGGTGTGGTGATAATGGGTCCTATTACATCTGTCCAGGAAGAGTTTCAGAGCAGGATGTGCATTTAAGAACAGGGTTTTGTAAATGTAGTTGACACAAGATAATTTATGGAGTGAGATTATGTTTAGCATGTTTAGGGAGTTAAACAAGGGGGCTGTGTGTTGTCTGAAAGCAGAATTTGATATTATTCTGATTTTTGCTGGGTGATGATGGACTTGAGGTGGTTTGCAGTGGTTGAACCCCATGCACAGATACCATAGTTGAGATAGGGATAGATTAGTGCATAATATAGAGAGATGAGAGCAGAGTTAGGTACATAATATCTGATTTTGGAGAGTATACCAACTGTTTTAGAGACTTTCTTAGTTATGTGTTGTATGTGGGTACTGAAGTCGAGTCTCTTGTCTAGGAATAGGCCAAGAAACTTTCCATCATTTTTATTGCTAATGTTTACATTGTCTATCTGAAGCTGAATTGCATTTGTAGATTTGCTTCCAAATAGGATGTAGTAGGTCTTTTCTATGTTAAGTGTTAGTTTGTTGGTTGACATCCACAAGTGAACTTTTTTTAGTTCATTATTAACAACATTATTTAGTGTATGTGGGTTGGGGTTAGAGTAGATGAGGGTAGTATCATCAGCAAACAAAATAGGTTTAAGAATGTTAGAGACATTAGGCAGATCATTGATGTATATAAGAAATAGAAGAGGTCCCAAGATGCTGCCCTGTGGCACTCCAACGGTTATTGGTAGGATGGGAGAGGTTATATTATTGATGGCTACACATTGGTGTCTATCACTAAGATAGGATTGGATATAGTCCAGTGCATGGCCTCGGATTCCATAATGATGGAGTTTATATAAGAAGTAATCGTGATTAACAGTATCAAAGGCCTTTCTCAGGTCAATGAAGAGTCCAATCGGAAACTCATTTTTGTCAAGGGCTGAGTAAATTATATCAAGGAGACTAATAATTGCATCGTTGGTACTCTTTTGAGAGCGGAAGCCAAACTGACAGGGGCTAAGAATGTCGAATTTTACGAGATAGGAGTAGAGCTGTTTGTGGATAATTTTTTCAAATATTTTTGACAGTATGGGTAAGTTCGATATTGGTCTATAGTTGTTTATGTCTGACGGATTACCTCCTTTATGAACTGGCGTTACTCTTGCTTTTTTAAGGATATCAGGGAAGGTATGACACTCAAGGGATTTGTTGAACAGCAGAGCTATAGGTGGCGCAAGGGCATGGGAGGCGCTCTTGTATACAATGGATGGGATTTCACTGATGTTCCCAGCTTTGGTTTTTAGTGAGTGTATGATGGACACAACATCTGACGGGCTGACTGGTGAAAGGAGAAGAGAGTTTGGATAGCTGCCTGAGAGATATGTGTTGATATGTGTCTGAGTCTGTGGGATTTTACTTGCAAGGTTAGCACCAATCGATGAAAAGAAGCTATTAAATTCATTCGCCATTTCTAAGT